ACACATCTGCACCCCTTAGTCATGGACACATCTGCACCCCTTAGTCATGAACACATCTGCACCCCTTAGTCATGAACACATCTGCACCCCTTAGTCATGAACACATCTGCACCCCTTAGTCATGAACAGCAGAAACAAAGATAGTCACCCAACCAATGATGGCACCGGAGAGAATGAATACTTAGAAATAAATTTATCCAAGGAAGTGTGAGACTTACAACTTACACACAAAACATTACAAGACATAGACAAAAAAATTAGAAGTTGACTAAATAGTCAAGGAAAGTCAGGTGTGGTGGCGCACATTTAATCACGGCACTCAGGAAACAGAGGCAGGTGGATCTCTGAATTGGGGGCCAGCCTGGTCTACGGAGTGAGTTCCAGAGCACCAGACTTGTTACACAGAGAAACCCTGTCTAGAAATTCTCTCTCTCTCTCTCTCTCTCTTACACACACACACACACACACACACACGAAAGAAAGAAAGAAAGAAAGAAAGAAAGAAAGAAAGAAAGAAAGAAAGAAAGAAAGAAAGAAAGAAAGCCTGATAAATAGGAAGGCAGCTCCCATGCTTGCAGCTCCCGCCTGGGCTGGCTGGTTTAGGTGAGAGTCTCAGTCCATCCCTGTGACACTGACACTCCAACAGCCCTTTCTGTAGACATAGAAATCCAGGAAAAGAGGAAGAGAGCTGGAAGACTCACTTTTCCGTTTCAGCTTACTACCAGATCCAGTAGCCATGGCAGTGTGGGGCTGTCATGAGGACAGACACACCGACAGTGGGATAGATGGAGAGCTCAGGACCCAACCACGTGCCTTGGCCAACTAGTTTCAACAGGATTGTGAGACTTTTCCACGGAGAAGATATTCTTTTCAATGAAGTGTTGAAGCAACTAAATATCCATGAGTAAAGTAACAGGTCTGGGACATTGCCTCCTATGATGTTCAAAATTAGCTCAGAATGGTCCCACCACCCACATGTAAGGCCTACTACTAGCAAACACTCAGGAGAAAACACTAGAGTTAGTCTTCACGACCCTGGCTCGGACAATGGTTTTTTTGTCAAAGGGAAGAATAGATAAGTCAGATTAAAAATTGTTGTATATCACAGGCCACTGATGAGAAAGTAAAGGGATAACTCAAAGAGCAGGGCACGATGTTTGCATATCTTCTATCTGATAAGGGTCTGGCTTCAGAAGATATAAAGAGTTCTTACAAATCGACATTAAAGAAAGAAGTCCAATTCAATTAAAAAATGAGCCAAGGCTCTGAGCAGTTATTTCTCTAAGGAAGAAGCACAGTGGTCCCTACACACGTGTGGGCATGTTCTCCCTACACACAAGTAGTGTAGGCCTACACGTGTGTAGGCATATTCTCTCTACACACACGTGGGCATGTTTCTCTGACACACACGTAGCATGTTCTCCACCATTGTCCACTGTTATTTGATAGCCATTCTCATATAAATCACGGGATAACCCTTTATATCCACCAGACACTGCAAGCAACACTGTGGAGGCATCAGAGCTCTGTTTAGCGCTGGTGGAAACTGGTCAGCTCTTAAAAAGACAAAACTCAAGGTTACAGAACTTCCCAGAAAATCCACCCCTAGGTATATATGTAAGAGAACTGGGAAACACAGGCTGACCTAAAATGCCCTTGAGCCCTGAGAGAGAGGGAAAGTCAGAGGTGAGGGCAAAGGGTCAGGATTTCTCCTTGGGTGATGAAGGGCTTCTGGGATCAGTTGCTGACAGCTGTATGCCTCGTGAAGGTTCTAGAACTCTCAAAGTGTACTTTCTAAGAATGAATTTTATATTAACTGTCTTTCAATAGACCATAATAATAAAAATAATGATAATAGTGATAATGATGTTAATAATAAAACTATCCTGTGTCTGTCAGGTTGAGAAAGGCCTAGAAGGAGCAGGGGGCTGGAGCCTGAGACAATGGGGCCAGCGGCTACCCTCAGCACTATGGATGGATCTGTGTAGCACCCTCAAGGTCAGTGTGGTAGTGCCTGCCCTCCCCCCCCCCACCTGTGGTGCTCCAGAGAGCTGGTGCAAACTTCAGGAGGTGTGGCCCAGCGGAAGAGAATTAGGCCCCTGAAGGGGACATGGAGGTCCAAGTCCGTTTCTTACACTCTCCACTTCCTGGCTGCCAAGAGATGAACAGTTCCCTTCTTCATGTGCTTCTGTCATGACACAATGGTTTTCATGAGCCCCAAACGAGGCCAAGTGACTGGACACAGCCCCTGGAACTATAGGCCAAATCAAGCCTTCCTTGGTTTTAAGTTGCTTATCTTGGGTGTGTGTGTGTGTGTGTGTGTGTGTTCATGCATGTATGGGTACACATGCCTGTGTGTGTACATATGCCGTGCAGGCTGGAAGTTAACCTCAGCTGTCATTTCTCAGAGGTTTTCCTCTCACTGGCCTGGAGCTCATCACTTAACTACTCTAGACTTCCTGTCAGGGGGCCGCAGGGCTCTGCTTGCCTCAGTCTTCCCAGCACTGGGGTGTCTGTGAGCATCACACACAGCTTGTCCTTGGGTCTCGGGGATTTACCTCAGGTCCTTTCGCGTGCAAGCAAACACTTTACCTATCTCCACAGCCCCACCTAGGTACCTGTCAGGGGTGGGCCTGACACAGCCACCTTCTAGCCAGGGTTTGGGCGGCAGAGTTCTCTGCTCGTCCTGCTGTGGACACGTCACATGCTATAGCTGTGCCCTCAGTGTCCCCCACTCCAGGGTGTCAGGTGATGGATGACAGGGGCGGTTTGGAGAGCAGTGGAGACAGAACTGACTGGATGGAAGGGGATCTGGCAAGGGTAGAGCAGACTGTCTCGGAGACTATCCTATAGAACCTCTAATATGACTGCCCTGTGGCTAGACCCGCTGCGTTACTTAACGATGTTTATTGAGAGCGTACCAGGGGGCAGGTACTTTCTCAGGCACCGTAGATGTGACAGGGGATACAAACCAGTCCTTCCTCTTGCTCTGCTCTCATGGGCCTACATCTTAGTGGCAAAGGCATTATTTGTGACAGCAACAAAAAGCCGGATGGGGCAGTGTCCCAGTTGTTATGACTGGCCAGCACTGCCTGCTGTGTTCTTATCTTCCGGGCATTGTAGGGTCTCTTTCCAGCCACACTGAATTCAGGCCTGGACACAAGGCACATTTTAGAGAATGGAAAAAAAAAAACCCTAAAAACTAAGTGGCAGTAGTAAAAGATAGAAGTTTTTAAACTCAGTTACATGCCTTGCCTGAAGTTCTTCCCTTTGCTATGAAAATGGTCCCCGAGGGGCATTGCCAACTGTGTCCCAGAGGGAGGACACCATGGGGGAGCCACACTTGATCCTCAATGGGCAAGAGCTGAGATGAGTAGTAGGCTCTCATTTGCTTTAATTCACTGAGGGTTGTTTTGTTATGCAGCGAGACCTAATCTGCCCCGACTAGTGCACACTCTCATTCTTTTTATGTACCCTCTAAGGGACATTAATTCACACCCACTGTAGTATGTTAGACTCTTAAGCCTTCTCTCTTAGTACAGTAATCCAGGCATAAAGCCACGATTCTGCAGGTCCATGCTATCAGGAGGGAGCTGTTGTTCTAAATGACTCCGGATGTGTTCTCTTACAACACCAGTGCATCCTGGGACTCGGACGAAGTCTTGAGTTCTAACGTTTGTGACCTAACCTGGAATTTCTGCCTCGCTTCTTCCAAAGGGCTGGAAGCAATACATAATAACCACCTAAACACCAATGGGAGATTTAAAAATAAAGGTCAGATATAAGAGGGCAAGATAATCCTCCAGAAACCCCACGGAAGATGAGACTGCCCTTGATGGTGACTGAATTTGGCTTTGACTTGCTGGCAGTCAAGGTTAAAAATTTGCACGTATGAGCATGCATGCACACATACACACAAATAAATAAATATAATTTAAAAACTAAAGTGACTCCAGATCTCAGGAAGGAAGCACACTCAGACAAGTAGAGGTTCATGGGTGAGTGGGGCCCATTCTTGGCAGCACACTCCTCAGGTCTCTGGTGGACCCTTATCTCGGGGCCATGGGTCCAGCAGCAGAACCACCGTCTCTCCTAGAGATGCCGCGTCCTCCTCTTGGCAGCCTTGGCCCCAGAAGTGGGCTCTTGACAAAAGGCGAGGGTGTGGCATTAAATTAAATTGCAACTCGGCAGAGAGGTGTCTTTGAGACGCTGGCTTAATGGGTCCGGCCAGATGGTTTGAATGTGGACATATGGGGCATGCGGAGAAGGTTCCAGGTGGAGGGAGCGATTCAGTCGATAAATATTTACCAAGAGCCTGCTTGGAGCCAGGGCCTGGTGGTGGGTGCTGGGGACACACAGATGGCCTTGGCCTCTGAGGAGGTCACAGACAAGGGGGACAGGTGCATAGACAGTCACCAGTGCTGTGACCAGAAGGAGCAAGTGCACAGGGTGAGAGGTGTAAGAGGCAGAGAATTCCAAGGCCTCATACTTAGACCCAAAGTTCCTGGGGAAAATCCTGCCGAGCAGCTTCTCACAGATTGAGGTGCGGTTTTTACGAGGGACGATGGCACACTGGGGCAGGAAGGAGGGTGCTCTGTGTGGAGTGAACAGAGGCCCAGGAGAAAGAAGTGCATAGGTTGGGGTTTGAGGAAGGATCACGTCCCCACCCTGAGACTGGAGGCCAATCTCCAGATCACCAGAGGCCTCTGGCCTATTTGAAGAATGCAGACTTCTGTCTCTGATGGAGGATGGTGTACTCAGAGCTTCCTAAGGGGCAGCTGCCCTGGGAGGACTCACCCAGGCAACCTGAGCCATGCACTCCCTGACCTAGGCCTGGCTAGTTAGGTTGACTGTGTGTGACAGAGATCTGCCCTGCTGTCCAGGGCTATCACTTCAACAGTGACTATCTGCCACTTGGAGAATGTGATCTTAGCCTTAAAAGCCATGGGCCACCAGGCTGTGGGCAGCTTAAGGAGCTGCTGGCCAGCACTCTCCCTCCTCTGCCATGGCGCTGTCTGCTTTACAGTAAGCACCCAGAGTCAGGGCTTGGTCAGCTTTGTGAAGATCCCAGGTGTTACCAGAAAGCTCCCGAGTGGATTCCCCCTCCTTTACCCAGACAACTGTAGAGGGAGGTAGAAGGTAAGGGTTAAAATTCCTTAAAATTCCATGTGTTTGCCTCTTCCAATATCTGTTTCCATAGAAACATTATTGGTATAAGTCACTCATTTCAAAGCCAAGTGCAGTTCCCTCATCCCCCCTCCCCTCCCAATCCCTGTTTGCCTCTGCGAATACAGAATGGTAAGGCCACAGAGTCCGGAGGGAAATTTGAAGCACCCCTGTGTGCCAAACTGTTAACCTGATTACGCCAGAATGGCCAGAAAGTCACAGGCACCCGAGTCTTAGGGAGCTTCCTGAGGTAGCGAGTGACTGGGCAGCCTATGGGGATGGCTAGCATTTCAGCAAATGCGTCCCCCACACATGGCTCCCATGGGTGACAGCAGCATGTGTGATTCTCTCTCATTGCAACCTGCCATTGAAGCAGACTGGGGGAGACCTTGGGTGGTGACCTCAGGGTGCTGTGACAGTGGCCCAAGTGGCTTGTCTGAGTGTCTGCACTCAGCAAGTGTCAGGACTTCCATTGGGTTTCTCCATATCAAAACCATCTCCCACCCCTGCCCACCAAGACTTGAGGCCACAAGAGTGCGAGAGCTGTCCCTGCACCCCACCAGCTGTGGGGTGGCCCCTGCACCTTGCTTGGGCAACACAGGAGAGTTGGCCCTGAAGGGGTGAGTTGACCCTGGGGTCGGGAAAACAAGAGAACTGGCCCCACCCCTCACTCATTGCTGTAAGAGTGAATTAGTTGGGGGCTGGATGGGGTAGGACGGGGGTGGGGTGGGGGAGTGGGGTAGAGAAGTGGGGAGGGGGAATGCTGGAGAGAGCAGGGGAGAACTAGCAGGCTGACCAACCCTGCAGCTGCCCAGGCAGAACCAGAGTTATGACTCGGCCTGGCCCAATACCCACCCCATCTATGATCCGCTGGAGCACATGAAGGTGCCTGACCTGCACACCCAAAGCTGGAGTCTCTCCACAACACAGGCAACAACAGGATATCCAAGAAGAGTCTCAGTGAGGGCCCAGCATGGATGGTGTAACGGAAACCAGAGGCCTTGAACAAGATCAGTGACCCTTTGCCGGGAACACTTACTTGCAACGGGGATAAAGGGGTTCACTGCACGACTCCCTGTGTCACACGACAGTTTCCACGATGAGATTTTTAATTTTTTCCTTTTTTTTTTCTCTTAAATTTTGTTTTAAGGGGGGTGTTGTAGGGGCAGAGGGCAGTTGCGAAGGGGCGGGGAAATATATGGGATCAAGATGCAGGATGTGAAAGACGCGTTGAATAAATAAAAAGAAAGAGAAACAACAACAAAAACAACAAAAACCCCTTTGTGATGATCTGGTGGATGAACGGCTTGACACAGAGGGAAGGGGAAAGAACCCTTCCGTCCAGGGCGGCGGCACTACATTGTTGCTATAGGCTGAGCTTCATAGCAAACTCATTTCAAACCATTTTTCTCCAATGAAAAAATAAATTCTCTCTCTCTCTCTCTCTCTCTCTCTCTCTCTCTCTCTCTCTCTCTCTGTGTGTGTGTGTGTGTGTGTGCGTGTATGTATGTGTGAGCATGAGTGAGTGTACACATGCACACTGTCAGTTCTTGATCCTCATCTTACTTGATCTAAAAGCAGCACTTGGCATGGCTCATCAAAACTTCCTTCTTGAAGCGTTTTCTTCCTTTGGTTTCCAAGGCACTGGACCCATGTGATCTTCTTCCCATCCGCCTCAGTCTCCTGCCAGGTGTCCTTTGTTGCCTCCTGCCTACATCCCTGGATGCTGAGCATCACTGTTCCTGGATCCCCCCTGGGTCCCAACTCGATTCCATCCCTATGCCCTGAGTTGAGGTCTTTGTATGGAGCTTTTGATGTCACATGTGTGTGTTGACCTCTCTCGGGTCTCGTCTGTGCCCCTACCTGTCTCCCTGAAGTCCAGAACTGTATATTCTACATTACATTCTTACCATCATTACTAGCAATGCAAGGCACTTAAAAAAATGCAATTTTCTTTCCTGCCAAGAATCCATATCATATTTTACAAGCGTTTCAAACATCCCTGGCAGGTTCATCAACACCTCTGGTGTAGGAATTGCAGAAACAAGGACTCTTCCCATGACTGCGCAGGCAGAGGTGTGGCGGAGACGTCACGAGGAGCCCTCAGCACGTGCCTGGGACACCCGCCAGCCTGTGCCTCCCTCTGGAGACTCCTTCCTTCTCCACTTCCTCTCTGGGCGGTGCAGTTCTGACATCCTGCCTGTGGACAGCTCTGCCTCTGACCACCAGCCCCACACGGACACTTCTTCCCTAGTGTCTTCTGTCTGTCTGAAGCTCACTTCCAGCTTTCCTCCCTGGGTCTCCTCTGGTATCCACACTCCCTCAGGGCTCCCCCAGGGCTCCCGGAAGCGCTTTCTTCTCCTTGTCCCCACATTCTCTGAGGATCCACAGTTGTCCTCATGACTCCCAGCTTCTGTGTGCTGACCCGCCCACCTGTCCCCTCTACTGGATAAATGAACACCATGTGTCCCCAGTCCCTTGAGTCCCACCTTCTGGGTTCCTTTACCCAGGAGGTTCAGGCACACAGGCATTTCAAAAACATGACCAGAAGTGAGACTCTTAATTCTTCCTCAAGCCCACTTCTCATTCTGTACCCCGACTCAGTGATGAAGCTGCCATGGACCACCCCAGCAGAAATCTGGATAGGGCCTTGCTGCTTTCCTGTGTCCCTATCCCCTGGACTCAATCAATTACTAACTCTGTTCTCAAATGCTCCCTGAATCTATCCACACGTCACACTTCTCTGTGTCCTTTTTTTGCTCACCTTGGTTTAGGTCACCACCAACTCACGCCTGATTTGCTGCCTTTTTGAGCCCCAAGCCTCATCCTCCACCTGTTCTCACTCTGCAGCCGTGAAAAATGTGACCATGTCATTGTCATTCCTGAGATAAAATCTCCTTCATTTTGAAGTCTAAATTCATCGGCTTAGCACTCAAGGCCCCTCACAATCTGGGCTCTTGCCTATGTAATTATTTACCCTCTTATTACTTCCCCAAAGGCAGCTTCAACTTGACCATCACAACTATTTCGTAGTTTTTTTAAGTTATAAAAAAAATCCACTCTATTTAATGTATTGCAGCAGAAACCCTAACCAATGTGATACTTCAAAAAAAAAAAAGAAAATAATGTTATACAGATTAGAAACGGGGAATAAAGTATATCACGGACAGCAATGTTTTCTAGATAGCAACTTCCGATAGAGTCAACACAAAACTGAGCTAATGAACAGTTCTAGCTGCTGTAGTTGCTTTTGTGTGTGTGTGTGTTTGTGTGTTCCTTATATTCTATATATCAGCAAACTGGAATGAAAACCATGGCACCATTTACATTAGCATCCCGTACAACAGTACAATGCAGTAGACAGGTATGTGTTGACTCGTTTTCAACATCTGTATGAAGAACTAGACAACGGATGAAAAGGCTAAAGACATTCTGAAGAAACAGAGAGGTCGCGTTTCATGTTCATGGACAAAAGATCTAACATCAGTTGATGTCAGTGCCTCCCAGCTTGATCAATGGATTTAGCGCTATATTTGACAAATGTAAATGCAGAAAGCTACTTTGCAGATATTAATAAACTGGTTTTAGATTTTGAGGCACAAGACCCAGAAGATCCAATGCAACACTGAGAACGTGAACTTGGGTCTGCACAGAAACCTGCCCACAAACCCTCACAGCAGCTTTAGCTGTGACTGCCTAAGTCTAGAAGCAACTAAAACGGTTGTCGGAGATGGGAAGGATGCAGGTGGCCCAGACGGGAAGCAGGGGCTCGTCACCCACAGAATCTGAGCTGCGAACAGGCATGCATTATGACATGCATATTGCCACTCAGAAGAAGAAGCTGGTGAGAGAAAGCTGATTCCAGCAGTGTGGCATCGTGGAGAGGCAAGGGTGGACAAGTGGCTGTCAAGGAGGGAACGGAGGGTAGTTAAGACATGAGACTGCAGTGTGATTCTGTGACAGGGTCCACAGGATATCACACGGGCAGCAAGGCCCACAGTGGCCTCACTGGATTGTCCATTAGGGCTTCAGTGAGAAAGCATCTTCTCCAAGGCACCAAGTTGAGGATGTCTACCCAGGACCACACGTCTATCTTAGCACCCGGGAGGGTGCAGCAAGCAGGACTTTTGTGAAAGTTTTCTGGAATCCTAAAACCGATCTAATGAAGTGCCAAGAATCCTAAACTGATACACACACACACACACACACACACACACACATTTCTGAAAAGTAGATAAAATACGTCTGCAAAAGGTAAAGAGTGACCTTGCCAGAACACCTCCCATGGCCTGTGTGCCTGTTCCAACGACACCCTCTTACCCCTACCCAGAGGTAACTCTGATCTTGGATTTCAAATGAACAATTGCCTGCCTTTTATCTTAAGATGATGTCACTACTTTTATGGATCCTTAAAGAGTATTAAATAGCTTCCATCTTTGAACTTGAAGTATGTGGGAAAAAAATGCTTTAAATCTCACCCAAGCCTTACTACTGCTGGTATGTGTGTGTGTGAGCACGGGTGTGTGCATGTGTGCATGCCTGCGTGTGTGTGTTTGTGAGCACACACGAATATGTGTGTGGATGAGGGTCATCCTCTACCTTATTTTGTGAGGCACGGTCTCTCACTGAACGTGCAGGAAACTAATTCAACTAGCCAGGCTGACCCGCGAGCTCCAGGACCCACACATCTCTTCTCTCCCAGGGCTGGGTTTAAGAAGTGTGCTACTACACTTGGCTTCTATGCAGGTCCCAGGATTCAGGTGTTCATGCTCGTAAGGCAGCTTGTCACTTAGCCATTTCCTCAACCCCGCTGGCTGCTTCTGTGCATCTGCACTGAGGTGCGTATCTCTAGCAGTTGTTTGGGTACCATATGTGTTGCTGAGGCAAATGGGTGCTCTCAGCTCTACGTTCTCCTGAACACCCACATGAGAGTACCCCAGGCACAATGTGAGGTTTTTTCCATGTCCCCTTGAAATGTCTTCACTGGGCTATAGGTTGTGCATGCCAAACTGTTGCCTGAAGTTGGGCCAATGTGTCCACCAACCTACCGTACACAGCCTTCCATGGCTCCATGCCCCCGGTACCTGACCAACCCAATGAGTTGTTTCTTCCCCAGTACACCTGCCTGGGTCCTTCCCACCTCCTTCACTGCCATGTCTCTGAGCTTCAGGGAAGCTTTCCCAACCTAGGAGGCCATCTCTGCCCTCACCCACTGCACCCTGGCACCTTGAACTCCCCAGCATGCTGTTCAAGGGGAACTGTGAGTTAGCCATAAACATGTCTGTCTCCCCTGCCTCCATGATGGTCCCTGAAGGCAGGGCCACATCTCAGTTACCAGGGAGTCCAGCTAATGGACAGATGTCCCAAACAATGATTTCTGTCAGTCTGGGGTACATAGGGAGGCCAGGGGCTGGATGGTGGGCACAGAAGTCAAATGCTCAGCCTGCCCTGAGAGATTGCTCTGTGCAGTCTTGAAAGGGGGGATCAGGCAGGGAAGAAAGAATTCAGACTCCCCCCATCCCCTGCATGGCAGCCTTCCCACTTGTGAGCAGGGACAGCCGGGCTGAAGGCAGACTACCCTGGTTGGAATCCAACCTGCATCCCCCACTGTCTGTGTGACTTTGGGCGTGGCACTGAACCTCTCGGTGCATATAACAGTTTTCTCATCTTCAAAGTTGGGAAAATATGAGCTCGCTTCTCAGAGTTCTGTTACAAGGCTTAAATTAAGTGAGTTCTGATTTATAACATGTTTAGCATGGTTCCTGGCATGTGACATGTGAGATATCAATATTTATCACAGAGAAATGAAGGCGGACGGGAATCAGGCTGCTCTCTGGAGGGCTGTAGGGTGTTTTATCTCCTTGGTCGCCACGTGCAGTCTTTGGGGAAGACGTGCTCACAGGGCCAACCCTGTCACTCTCCAGCTGTTTGTCCTTTTGCTTCTTCCTCACTGCAACCTGAAGGGACGGTGTAGGTGGGCGTGTGAGTTTAGTCCACTCCCAAGACAGTAAGTAGCCTGCGTCTACTGTGAGACCAAGGCTGCTAGCTTTGAATCCTGTGTCCCTATGGAAGATGTCCTTGGGTGCTGGGGGCTAGCTCAACTGTTGTGATCATGTCCTAGGAGGTCAGTGTTGAGGCTGCGTGTTGGCAGAGTTTGAGGAGAGTTCAGAGAGGCTGGGGAGGTCAGGTAGGGCCAGGGAACTCAGCGACACAGCCCCTGTAATAGATGACCTTGGTGCTGAAGCTCAAACCATTTATTTGGGTAGAGAAGGTCCCAGAAGGGGGCAGGAGCCTCGTGAGAGCTTGGATCATAATGGTATTAGAGAGCTCAGAGCAAACCGAAATGCTTTTGGGGTAGGGGGAGGAAAAAGGGACAGACTACAAAGACCTTCAATTAACTAATTCCCTTCAGCCCAGAGTTCCTTCTCGGGCTGACCTGAAAATCCTGCCCCTGCAATGAGCCCTTAGCACCCAGCAGCCTGGATACATTGTTTCACCACTGCATTGTGCTGTACCTGGCAGGCAGTCTGGGAGAAACCTCTGGCCAGCTTAGTATCCTTCCAGGGAAACTATAGGGACCCTGCTGTGGGTTGATACATCAAAGGGTTCTGCTACCATGGCAACAGAGCAGCCGGGCAAGCCCCAAATCAGAGCGGAAAAAGAGGAATGTCCCAGGAAGAGGTGTGAGAGAAGTTTCAACAGGTACCCGGGGCGAGGTGGGGTGGGGTGGGGTGGGGTGGGGGGAGGGGTAGGAGGGTCAGAGGGTGAAAACAGAGTCAGTCTGGACTTTTGTCTTGGACAAACTGGATGGCCCTGGGTAGCATTCTGTTCCTCCCAGACTCAGTTTCCTCATCTGTGCTGACAGCTTGGAACACTAACTTAGCAGGTCTAAATGCAGTGAAGCCACTGACAGTAGACAGGCAGGAGGCAGAAAGACCCCAGCAAGCAAACCATCAGGCACAGGGCAGGTGGCATGAGAAAGATTCCATTTGAACGGTACTGAGGACACACTTCCCGTTTCCAAAATCCGCCGCTTGGGCTGACTCCAACCCTGCATGCTTGTCCCTGTCCCAGCCTCAGTCCTAGGACCTCTGATCATCCTCACTCCACCGCAGACACAGGGAATGATGCAGCCTTCGGGTCTTTGGGACATCCCAAACCTGGTCTCCAGTGACCTGCCCCAGCTCAAGCCTGCCCTGGGCTCTCCAGCCTCATTTTCTTTAGCCCCCTCCCCTACTTTCCTGGGCCCTCTGTCTTCCCTGGCCGGTGGCAGAGCCATCCTCTGTGGGATGGGATGGACACACCTTACTCCTTCCATTTTCACAAAATACGTGGCCGCTGATCAAAGCTCCAAGGCAACAGTGCAACTGCAAAGAATTTATCCAGAGGTTCAAGGGCACAGAGGGTGGGTGAGGGATCACCTAGGGCACTGAGTGGGTGAACCATGTTCTTTTGTTAGTTATGCCCGACAGAGTGCCTGAGATACCAGATGTACCTCCATACAGGTGTGGAAGAACCTGTCTGACTGGGTGCCCTGATGGCTGTCCCTCTGACCCACAAGCACAACTGGTATTGGCCCACCTGTCACTCCTGCACCTTTCCAGGGAGCGTGATGAGTGGTACAGCCGGTCTCCAGTCTCTTTCCTAAATGACATTCTGATTGCACGACTCCTCACTGAGTTGAAGAAAGTCCCTGTCCACTTTCACCTAAGCGTGGCTGGGCATCTTATTTGCCTGAAGGACATACACCTCTGCCCCTAGCTCATGGAACCACCACTTCTGGTTTAGTTTAAGAAGACACTTGACATTTTGTAAAAAGTGATTCCCCTGATAATGGAGTAGGGGGTGTGGAGACTCTCAGGGGCTTTTGGAGTTTCCTATACTGAAATGACAGTAAATACCACCTGCCAGCCAGCACCCCACAAAGCCAAGCTGACATGTGTGAGGAGAGAGCCAGCAGACACCAGGGGACTCAGGCTCCCCAAACTGGGGCACCTCACAATGATCAGCGGAAGGCTTCGAGCAAGACAATTAAAACCTTTATGTACATATAGTGAAAAAGGGTCTACCATATATAGCCTGGGTTGGTCTTGACCTTGGATGCCCCTGCCTTCCCCTCTGTTGTGCTGGGATTACAAACCTGGGCTGCCATGCCTGGCTCACAATGGATAAGTCACGAGACTTTTCTGTAAGGCTCTTTATCTTAACAACCAATATGGAATGTGTGGAAAGAACTTCACTGCTCAGTGCCCTTGGCTATCATATGGTAAGCACAAGCTCTCCAAGTGTGTGTCCCTGCTCAAAGGTGGGACATAAGGCACGATAATCTCTCACTTGAATGAGCAGATACACGGGGCTTCCCTGGTTACGATAATAGACTCCTTCAAGTAGCCCAACCTTTTCCCTCATCCTGCATTTATTAGTATGATATGAAGTTGTTCCATGCTACCTTCGATTTGCCCTTCCTGAAATAACCCATGCCTCAAACGGAAGGAGGCTGAGTTGAGTGGTGGAGGAAACCATGCAGCGCAGAGCCCACCACCGTCATGTCCGGAAGTGCCCGTGGTGCCTCCTGCCCCCCTCCTGCCTTGACCTCTCACCTCCATGCTGTACCTCTCCACCGTCCTCCGCAGGGGGTCCACCGCCTGCCAACAGATCAGGATGCACAGGTCGATCAGCAGCATGCCCCCCACAATCACAAGCAGCTTCTGGTCTTTGATGATCTGCAGAGGGAAAGAGCAAAGGGAGGCAGACATGAGAGCTGCCCAGACAGGGGGAGCTCAGCCCAGACATTGCTTGGCAGCCGAGGTCTTTCCTGAGGATGACCAGCACCTGAACACACCTGGACTTGCTGGAGTCTGGCCACTTTGCTCAATGGCGGTTTCCACCCTCTAGGTCTTCAGTGTGAAACACCAGTTGTTACGGTCTGGCAAACTATTTTCTCCTCTTCCTCTCTTCCTCTTTCTCATTCTCCCTTTCCCCCTTCTCTCCTCCTAGACCCCCTTTCCTCCTCCTGACATACTCTCCTGTCTGCCAAGGCTCATGACATCATCACCCGCCGTCTGTCTGCCAAGGCTCATGACTTCATCACCTGTTGCCCATCTGAACTAGTGTGTCACAGTGCCACATTCTCTCTACATGGCATCAAGGCACCAGCAGTGACCAAGTATTTGCTTCTAGATCTAAGTCGGACATGGACTAACTAGTTGTGATCTTGGATATGGCCCTGCCCCTCTGAGCCGCTTTCACCGTCTGTGACATGGTGTGATAAGCTCCCAGTTCACACTTGCTGCACAAAGTCTGGCTTACGGTGACTGCTCCGCAGAGGCAGAAGCCGGCTGTCTTTTGTGAATGTCACCTCTCACCACTGTTCCGAGCAGAAGTTGAGAAGCCCACCACTTGTTTTTGTAGGCAATGTTTTATGGGAATGTAACCACACCTATCCATGGGCATATCTGTCCCCAGCTCCCCGTCACTTGTCAGGCAGAGAAGAGTCCCTGCACGTGCACCTGAGACAGCAGGGCCCACAAGGTCGAAGCATTTACCACTGGTTCTTAACAGGAGAAACCTTGCTGACCTCTAGTTTAAAAAGGGGAGCATTTTTTATTGCTTAAAAACAAGAACAAAACGAAGAAAACCTTAAATTATTTTTTTTCAGACGAAGGCTTGTTCTGTAGCCCAGAATGGCCTTGAATTTGGAATCCTCCTGCCTCAGCCTCTCAGGAGCTGGTATAACAGCTATGTGCCATCACATGGGGCTTGACTTCAGATTTTTATCTGGTCCTGACTGGTTTAGCAGGGCTGACACTCTGCTCTACAGTGCCCCCTTCGTGGGAAAAACAGTATGGGGGGCTGGTGTCACCCCACCCTCTCACCCTGCAGTCTCTCACAGCCGAACTGTCCAGGCAGCTGCTGGAAGCCGTCTCTGAAGGCAGTTCTATGGGTGAGCCAGGTAACTGTCTGCACAATGATCTCAGATGTTTCGTTGCTTGTGTTATCTTGTTGGGGATGGAGCTAAGATAGATTCGTCCTCAGAAAACATCTGCCCCAGCACAGAAAATTCCCTCCCTGGGCGGCTTGCCTCCTTTCCACACTTTGCTTTGCTTCGTGAGAGGCAGAAGGAAGGCTGTCATGAGTTTCTCCGTGTAAGACTTTATGATTGGTCTTTAGAAAAATAGTAACATGCTATGAAAACGCTGAATTTGGAACATGAAGTCACCGTGTGCCGATGCTCTCTTAATAGGCTCCCTTCCCTGAGTGCCTGTGACAATAGGGGCATGTGAGGTGAAGCCTGCACGTATGTTTGGGGAGGGCCCACCGCCCCAGGTGGAAGGGGGGAGTGGGGGGGCGTTCAGTGAGAAAGGGAGGTGTAAGAAGACTGTAAGGAAAAAGACACGCGACTGCATTTTTATGCTTCTGAAAATCTAGTGTACGTGTTGTTAGAGGAAAACGAAGGGGTCCTCAAAACAGAATCCAAACGCAGCGGAAGCCTAATAAAACGGGTCAATTATTCAAAACACGCACTGTGTGATTCAATTCACGTGAGGCTGCCTGGTGTCAGATTTAGAGGGGCAGTGTAAGGTGGTCCCTGGCTGCAGGAGGGAATGGGGGCTGGTGGTGGATGGGTGTGGGGCTTTGGCTTGTGTTTTGGAGGTGGATGGTGGTGAAGGTCACAGAATACAAACACAGTGTGAGGTGCTGTGGTCTTTGGGGACAAGAACTGGGCACTTTTTTTTTTTTTTTTTGTGGGAAAGCTGGAGGATGTGATATCCTCAGAGGGATTGCTCTGAGTTTAAAGCTGATTCCTTGAGCAGGTGGAGAAGGGTACAGGAAAGAGGAGAAACAGACTTCCAACTGGCCCGCCAAGCATGCCTTGGGGAGCCAGATCATGTTGAAGGGCAGGTAACAGTGGCTCCAATGAGGTTGAGTTTTGTTATATCAGCTTAGGCTGGCCTTGACCTTACTATTTAGCCCAGACTCGATTTGGTCTCATGACGATCCTTCCACCTCAGCATCCCAAGTGTTGGGATTACAGGCAGAAGTCATTATGCCCTGGATTTTGTTGGCTTTTAAAAACTGTGGCAAAATTCATCCAGTTTCTCATTTTAGTTGTTTTCAAGTGGGCCGTTTAGCCTGGTTAACTGGACGGCGGTGACTCCGTATGATTGGGCCCCCTGATGTCATCAGTCTCTTCCCCAAGGGCAAAGCTATCTTCATTCCTATCCAGGAAGATTGTCCCCTTCCTGTCTGTGACTCTTGACACTGTTGATGTCACTTTCCCCACTGGTTTCTCCAAAGGTGTCTTTCAGGTCTCCAAGGACACAATTACTGCCTTCTCCCGAGTCTAAGGTTGTACCCCCAAGGACCCTAGCGTCCGCTCTCCCTCACAGCATCACCTTTTTAAAAGGTAGAAAAAAAAAGAAAATGAAAAAAAAAGTGAAAGGTACCTCCCCAGAGTTAAAAAAGAATAAAGAATGAGAAAAAAAAAGTAATGGGGGGCCTTGTGTGTCAAAGAAGTCCCTCCTGTGAACAGGCTGCCGAATTTTCTCTCAGTGGAGTGCATACTGCTGTGGGCTCCGGCACCAGGCAATGCTGTCAGATGTGACCAGAGCTTGAGGTCCCTGGAGACATCCCATTGTCACCCCTCAGGGGTGTGCACCACTAACTCCCGAGCTTCTCATGACATGTTCATTGGGCTGCTGCCCGTTGGTGTGTTCTCTGTAGTTGCTCCACGAACACGGTGGCCAGCTCTTGGCTGCAGCTGACAATGTGGATAACCCCCCAGTAGCACACAGAATCAATGCTGGGTTGCATTAGTGATAGAGCAGCTCAAAGCGGAGCTGCAGAGCAGGAGAGCCTGGTCAGCACCCCTTAGCTCTGGGGAAGGCTGGTGCAAGCATGGCAACCTGGGCCCCATAAGCCTGCATCGCTAAGGCTCTCAGTCAAGGATAGCCCACACCGGACAGCCCCAAGGCAAGCCAGAGGGCTTTTTCTCTGGCTGTAGATCAGCACAGTCCTCCTTCCTTTGTGCTGCTACATTCACAGATTCCACCACCAAGGCAGTTCACCAGGCAGCAGGCCCCTGGTGTTTGCATCTGTACCTAGAATATACAAACTGTCTTCTCTTACAGTGACTTGTAACCATACCGTGTAACAATGTTTACACAGCATTTGCATTGCATTAGTTACTGGACACAGTGTGGAGATGATTTAAGGTGTATGTGAGGATGGTGGGGTACCTTGATGAGTACTCCATTTTATACAAAGGTACCAAGCACCTGTGGATTTGGTTGTTTTGGGTGGTGTGTGTGTGTGTGTGTGTGTACCCAGTGCCAAAAGGAAGTGGAGGGACAACTGTATCACCCGAGAAAGTCTAGAAACACTTCATCTGATGTTCAGCTACATCCTCAGAGCTTTGAGCTAAAGTGACCTGAGCTGGATGGCCTGTGTTCATAGTCACCCACTGGACTGAAATCCGTAACCAGGACCAGAAATGGCTGGAATGACTGAGCCACTTCCATCTCACAGAAGGGAACGGTCACATGATCTGTGGGGACAGAAGGCTGAAGGAGCACAAGGAGATGGCAGTGCTGTGTGTCCCTCTGTCCCTCTCTCTGAGAGCAGCCCGCGTCTGTCTGAGGAGGTCTGGGTGTCTGACAGATGGAGTTGGGGAGTAGGCAGGGTCCAGACTGTCCCATTCCTCCAGGGTGGGGACTGCAGCTTGGAAAGCGGCTCTGACAGTGGGGATGGGGTGGTGGCACTGAGGGTGAAGGGCGCCATAGGCCTCAGGCTGGAGAGGGAGTGGCCGCTTAGGAGACGATGCCTGCCTGAATTCTGCCCGACCAGCAAGACCACAACAGAAATTTAAAGAACAGCATTGGGATTCCTCTATGGCCAGACGCCCAGTCATGTTTGGTTAATATCATGGTCACCCACAACATGGGGCAAACGCCCTCTACCCGCCTCGAGGCAGAGCTCCTGCCCTCTAGGGCATTCTATGAAAGCCCTGCCATTAAGTTGGGGGCCTAGTCCTGCTTCTTTCCCCTCTTTCAAAGAGGTTCCTGTGAGCCCTAAGTCGCAGTTTTGACTCCCTAACGTCACCCCTGCCTTTTCCTTCAGCCTCTTCTTGGACCCTGTCCATGTGAAGCCTAAATCCTGACCATGTCAAGCCTCTCAGCTCCTAGAGCATCCATTCCCTTCCACTATTATCAGGTGTTCCCTCTACAGGTATGCAGTCCCCACCCATCCTTGTCGTCTGATGACTCCCACTTACCCCCAGGTCCTAACATGGGTGTCACCTCTTACATGAAGCCTTCCCTGAGCACCTTGCTCCCCAGTACACCCTACATGTCCCTAAACAGCTCCTGTCACTGTGAGTTGTAAAGGCTTTGCAAACAGATTCCTGGGGAAGCTGTCACCAGGAGGTGGGAACTGAATTTCTCTTGAATCTCCACCAAGTTGCTCAGTACCTGCACACAGTAGGCGCCTAATGCCTGTTTACACAAGAAAAGCCAAATGAACACAGCCAAATGAAGCGGAAGCTCTCATTACCTTCTTCTTCATCTTTACATTTTTGAAGATGGCATGGACCCTCCAGGTCTTTGCAAACATGGCCCCAAAGGCGGTTGTGTAGCCCACGGTGAGAATCCAGGTCCGGACCTAGAAGCCAGGACAACACTGCAGAGTTAACATCACCCAGGTGACTGACCACCCAGCAATGGAACCTAGGTGCTGGGCACAGACACTCTGCCATGCATGTTTGCGATCTCCTGAGCATCCTGCAGTTGGATTCTGATTCCATAGACGGCTAGTACTATCGGGCACTCATCAGGTCCTGGGCACTAGGTGCAGAGATCAAAAAGGTTCAAATCCTGCCTCCAAATGGTTCCTAGTTCAGAGGGCTCCACCCACTGGCAAGAAGCAGAAATCTCTGCACTGCTGAGGGCTCACTGGGGAGGTGAAGACCCAGGCATCTTCCCTTCTGCTCTCTCCTCCTCTTTCCTCTCCCCTTCCTTTGGGTGGTGCTAGTCTCATGCTTTGGGTGACCTTGGGGAGCAGGACTAAGGTCCTGCCCGACTCTGACATGCTCCCCAAGTCTGAGATGTGCTTTGGTTACCAGTCCCGGCTGATGACTGATGGGAACAGCCAGTCTGAAGGAGCCTACACTCTGGGTTCCTGGAGGTTGAGACCGGATGGCCACCAGGGGGCCTCTAAGATGTCCACTTTCTGCCAGGACTGTAATGACAGCCAGATGCTACCTTCACTGGCTGACTTAGATGCCTCCAACACAGAGGACCTTGGCTTCCCTGTATAGCTTCTAAACCCCCATTCTTGGTGATGCATTGCGCCTGCTTCTGCCTTTCTAGCGATATGGCTCACAGGTGTCCCAGTCCCACTCGAGTGGCTGAGGACACGTCAAGGCCAATCCCTAAGCTAGGGAAGTCAGCAGCAATCTGGCCACTGTTGAGAGATGCATGCGACATATGAGTGGGGACCCAGCACAGGTGGGAACGCAGCCTTCAGTAGGTAGGAAATTAGGTGGGCAATGAGTGACAGGGTTTTTTTCGGGTGGGGGATGGCCACAGCATCACCTACATTGTAATGTGGATATGGAACATCCGTGTTGTAACCCAAGGATGCTAAGGAAAATGGAGAAATGGAGGGAGGAGTAGCTGATCCCTGGGGACTGAGACCCTAGTTCCTCCCATGACTCAGAGCATCACTGTCCTCTGTCTCAGTCACTGGGGCACCCACACAGTGTTCACTCAGCCAGACACTTGAAGGTGCATCTGGTCCTTCAACATGGACCATGAGGTCAGAGGCCATGTGGACGATGCTAACACTACTAGTAACCAGGATGACTTGGGAGCTGTTGAGTGAGGGAATCACTCTATAAATGAGGAAACAGAGGCCCACTCTTACACAGTTCCTCACCGGCCCACCGGAGCCCCAGAACTCCAATTCAGCGCCTTGAGCCAGAGTGGCCTTGTCTCCCTGATAGTCTTTTTCTCCTATCTAGACAGTCTGCTTAACTCAAGTCAGCTTTGTCTACACTCGGGAGCTGGCCCACCAGCCAGGACAAGCTCTGCCGGGCTCTCTGGAACACTTGGATTGCACTGTCCTCACAGACTCAAGTGCTGAATGCTGGTGCTATCTGGGGAGGTCGTGGAAGCCTTACGAGGTAGGCTCTTGGAGGAAGTGGGTCACTAGTGACTGGCCTTTGAAGGTTGGACCTGGTCCCTGGCTCTCTCTGTCTCTGCTTCCTGCCCTCCATGGGGGCGAGCTGCTCTGTTGGGCCACACGTTCCTTAACTACGGTGGGCAGAAGTGGAACTGTCAGCCCAAAGACATTCCTATCCCTCGAGCTGATTTCCAGCTCCTTCATCACAGAGATGAAAGTCTGACGCATCAGGACCTTTTATCTCAATTGTCAACTTGAGGAGGAATCAGAATCACCATGGAAACAAACCCCTGGGTGTGTCTGGGATGAAGTTTTCTGATTAGGTTTGTACCCTCAGACTGTGAGGCGGCGTAAACTCTTCTTTCCTTAAGCTGTTTTTGTCAGGTGATTGAGACGGCACAGAGAAAAAGAGCTCTCAGCCTCCACACGCTTGAAAGTGACCGTCCACCCCGGGACCACGCTAGAAAGTAACTCTTAGGAACTGGAGAGATGGCTCAGTGGGGGAGAGCACTGACCGCTCCTCCGGAGGACCCGTGTTCAATTCCCAGCACCCACAGGACAGCTCACAACTGACTGCAACTCCTCTTCCAGGATATCTGACACCTTCACACCAATGCACATAAAATAAAGTTAAATAAATTACTAAAAAAAGGAAAGTAACTCTTAATTGTAAACATACACAGAACAATGTCATTTTTAATACTTTATTGGTTTTAATTGAGTTATACATTTTTCTCCACACCTTTTCCATCCTCCCCTCAATTTTTTTTTTGTTTTTTTTTCGAGACAGGGTTTCTCTGTGGTTTTGGAGCCTGTCCTGGAACTAGCCCTTGTAGACCAGGCTGGTCTCGAACTCACAGAGATCCTCCTGCCTCTGCCTCCCAAGTGCTGGGATTAAAGGCGTGCGCCACCACCGCCCGGCTCAATTTTTTTTTTTTAAAATAAAGTATGGAAAAGATGAAACAATGTCATTCTGTTGTTCTGTGGCTGACAAAAACCTTATTTGGAGGCCACGTGCCACTGCCCTGGGCCTGGCTTACTCAGGCTCCTTTTGACCCATGCTCTCTTTGAAGCTGTCATTACCGGGCCACTCGTCTCTTCTGAGAGAGCCGATTTCATTAAGATTCAATAACATAAATTAAGTGAGTTAAAACTCGATGAGAGAAATTTAATCTGGTATCTGGAAGCTGCAATGTGTTACAGTGAATTGGAAGCAGAGAAGGCCAAGGGCGCCCGGGGAGAGCGCCCCACAGACACTTTTTCACTCGCTGGAGATGCTGGCCCTGGCTGGCGTCTGCCAACTTGGACTTGGGGACCCATTCACTCTGTGATGTAGGGTCTCACTATGCCTAAGCAATCTGTGCAAAAAGTGTGATTTGTGCTTTATTCAGAATTCCAGGCAGCTGTGTTCTTTCTGCCTAGAATGTGGGTGGATTGCAGGCCTGGTACTTATGTGGCTGGGCCTTGGATTGCCCTGGGAGCTCTCCTGTTTGTCCTAGGTCCCTGGAGAAGGTTCTGGATGCTCACCAGGTCTTCCCAGGATGTGCTCTCAGGGGCCTATGCCTTGGCTAGTTTTGGTAATTGATGAGAACCGTGACTATGACTGGATGTTCAGGCGTGAGAATCCCGGTGAATCCCTGGGCTGGGGCTGTGACTACTGAATATAATAATGGCCTGACCAACAGCTTGAGCAGTTCTGTGTCCTTGGGTGGGCTTCTGTGTGTCACAGACAAGCAGCTCTTCCATCCCATCTGCAGCAAATTCTCGATAAGGGCAAGCCAGCAGCAGAGAACAGAGCAGCGAGAAGGACAGCAGAATGATCCCAGCAGGGTGGCCTCCGCAGGGTGGCTCACCCCTGAGGGACTCTGCTGGAGAGGACGTCCATTTCTTTTCTCTTCCTTATCTATGAGATGGAAGCCGCTCAGGATCGGGCTTCCTCTGCCCATCCAAGGCTGTCCCTGGATGTCATCTTGACTCCTAGCCTCTTCCTCGGGGCTCTAAAGCGCTACAGGAGGCCTCGGTGACAAGGAGGTGTCCCATGAAACCCTCAGTTTCACAGCCAGGCTTCACACTCTTCTCTGAGCTGCTGCTTCCTCAGACACAGGGAGTCTTGCCACCACACACTTGTCACCCAAGTTAGAGCCCCGAGAAAGACGCCAATCCCTTCCCGCCCTCCCTCTCCTGTTCATCTCCAGGCGCCACTCACAGATTGATGGTGATCAGCTCCCCCAAAGGGAAACCCCACAGGACGAAAAAACAAGCAAACCCCTTTCAGCAAAAATATCTCACTAATTTTATAAGACTTGAATTTACTAGGAGGCAAAGTGGGGGTTTCTTGGGTAACCTCTACCTTATATAAGAGAAAAATCCAGGATTTCTTGAAGGACCCAAAGAAGGCTCCTCTGCCCCACCTTTGCCCAGCTGCTGCCCATGCTGAGCACACAGCTCCCTGTAAACAAGGGGGGTAGTAAGATCACCCGCAGGACTCAACCCTGCGCACCGGGACAGGGCTGCTCTGCTCCTGGAGACTTGAGGGAGGGGGCGCAAGCCAGCGTCTCCCATTCTCCAGCCCCTGTGCTTCCACGGCTGGTGTTCAGAGGATGACATTTCTGGGTTTCCAGGATCCCCAGATGGATCCCTGGTCCCCAAGGGATCTACCGCAGTACAGCCCCAGGGACCTATGAGCTACAGCTCCTTTAGGTGTGCGCTGGGGAAGCAGCCTCAACGCCCCGTGGCTTGCCGTGTGGAGTCCTGCAGATATCCACCAGAATCTGTTCATGATGGGCATGTGTCTGTATGCACATGTATGCTTTAAGTGAGGCAGTGAATCAGGCTTCTCCTGTCCCAGTGAGGGAGCTGCACTGCTGAGTCTGGCTCCTTGAGAGTTCACTGAGCAGCCCCTGGCTGGATGGGCTTTTAACTAGAGACAGCGACTGGGGATTCCCGGAGAGGGCATCCACAGAGGTCCCTGCTGCGTCACTCTTACTGTCCTGTGGCCTGTCCCCCGGGCCCTCCACACTGCAGGTGGCAGAGGCTCACTGCAGCTTGGCTTACCTCCATTCCAGTTCTAACAGAGCAAGGCCACAGCGGGTCAGAGTTGCCATGGAAACACCTGCACCAAAACTCCCAGCACCCACCCCAGGTTCCCAGCTCTTCATCCGTTCACTCTGCTTTTTAGAAGGGACCACGGTTATCCTAACTGTCTATCACTCATTCATAAGTGATTCGCCCTGCCATTCATTCCTTCACAAGCATCCGCTGGGACCTAGAGCTTTAACACATGCTCTCATTTAACCCTTACAAGCCTCACCGGGTGGTGGTGGCGCACGCCTTTAATACCAGCACTCGGGAGGCAGAGGTAGGCGGATCTCTGTGAGTTCGAGGCCAGCCTGGTCTATGAGAGCTAGTTCCAGGACAGGCTCCAAAGCTACAGAGAAACCGTGTCTCAAAAAACCAAACCAAACCAAAACTCGAACCAACCAAGCAAACAAAAAACCCCAAAGCCTAGTATAGCCCCACTTTCACAGAGGAGTGAATGAACTAAAAAGGTTCAGAGATGTTAGTAATCGAGGCAAAGTCACACAGCTAGGAAGTCATGTGGTGGAGTTTTGGACACAGACATTTGCCAATGGCCTTTCTAGAATACTCTGGGGACACACTAGAAATGAATGCACACACGAAAACCGCTCAAATACACATCATAAAGGGTAGATTTTATTTTCTTTTGCTATCTCATTTTTTTTTAAAGATCCAAATGGGCAAACATTTATCTGGGATGCTCGTTTGGCAGACAGAACTTAGCTGTCCTGCTGTCCTGTTCTTCCTGGTAAAATGCAGTCGACAGCTTAGTGACAAGCGACCCTGAAAGTCTGATGCCTGACTCTGGTCCCTGGAACTCACAAGGTAGGAGAGAGTGGATCCCACAATGTCCTCTGACCTCCACATGTGTGTCTGGGCACATGTGCCCCCCTGCAATGAATAAATGTACTAGATTAAAAAAGAACATTCAATGTGCGTGTTTTTTGTTTGTTTGCTTTTTTTTTTTGTTTTTTGAGAAGAAGACACACAGCATGCATCCTTTTAGTCTCCTGGTGTTTGGACCCTTACCCTTGTCAAGTACTGCAGGGCGGGGTCTGGGCTTGCTCTCAGGACAGGTGGGGGGTTAGTTCTGTTTTGTCTGGTGACCTGCCTCCAGATTGGAGGGAGGGGCTGCACCAGGGTAGGGCAATGTTGATGGTGTTGAATTCCGACATGGAGTGGGCTTGTGTGTGTGTGCTACACAGAGCTGCTGGCTTGCTTCCATCCTCAGCCATGCTGCGGAGGCTGGGAGCGTGGCAGGTCCTATGGGGCTCGTTGTCCACCAGGCCTCTGGGTCTTCTCTGCGGCTCTCTCTCTCTTTCTCTGGATTGTTCTATCACTTCCCATGCCCTGGCTGCAGTTCCTACCTACACTTCACAGGACGGCAATTGTCATTTCTGCCTTCTGGCTGGCTCCCCTTCCAGCTGCTGGGGCTGGGGTTCCTGAGCCAGGTGGGGCTTGTCATCTTGGAGACTGTGGTTTCCTTCCCCCAACACCAGGGCCTTGCCCACACCCAGCATCCGTCTCCCAGCGACTCTGCCCACAGGGGCCGTGTTGCTATGGTGACTCTACTTCTGACAGTGTCCAGGGAGACAGCACCATGGAGCTGGAGCTACTTGCAGGCCTTGCTGAAGCTGGCACTGAAGGCTGGGAAGATTCCAGAAAGGATGGAAGATGGGGGATGGGAGCTGCGTGTGGCTGCTTCCCCAGCAGTAGCATCTCTGTGTGCGCACACATGCATGCTCACACTGTCCCTGCATGGATGCTAATGGCCTGTCTGAGCAGAGGCCTGACCCTGGGGTTGTCACAGCTTCTTGCTGAGGTACTATCACAGTTGTCTATATAAAGATCTGAAGGGTGGAAAAGGACCACGTGTGGGGAGGCAGAACAGGGTGACCCTGGAAAGATGTTCAGGATGGAGACTGACTTCAGGGACCACCTCATCCATCTGATGACTTTGAGGATGTCACTGGTCTGGAGGCCAGGTTGTCACCAGCATGGTAGAAATGGAGATATTCTAAAGAGACACTTATGTCCTTTAACCTCTCTGTCAGACTATTGAAACACCGGATCCCAAGAAGTGGAAATTTCCCCAGGAGTCTCAAGTTGGGAGAAATAAAAGGCCTCAGCCAGAGAGCTTGCCTCCTGGAAAGAGATCTAACACAGTCCTGAGAACTTATCAGATTGTGTCTCAGGGTGAGACTGCAGCTGATGTTGGCAATGAGAAGGGTCAGTGATGGGAGGGACCACACCTTGACTGCTCAGAGGGTAGTACCCCGGTCCTCTATCTAGCCTTTTCCGAAAAGATTTACTTTTGTTTTATGTGTACGTATGCGTGCCTTGCACGTATGCATGTGAACCGTATGTGTGCAGGTGCCCACGGAGGCCGGAAAAGGACACTGGATCTTCTGGAACTGGAGAACGGGTGGTTGTGAGCCACCAGTGCGGGATTGTGGATCAAACCGGGGTGCTCTGCAAGAGTGGCCAGGGCTCTTAGCAGCTGCACCGTTGTCCCCGGATCTCTGTGTCCCTTTTTCCAATGTGGCCACATAAACTAAGTCTACTTTTCCTGCTTTTTACTATTAACTTGACTGTTTTAACTGATTCTTAAGGACAGGTGGCTGGACTTGACTTCCTGGGGTATTCTCTGCTACCCCAAGTTTGATAACAAAAGTGACACACTGTGTTACCTGCCTTTCCTCCCACTCTTCTCTCTCATTCATCCCACATTTGTCCCTGACCGACGAGAGAGAGCTGTCATGCTCATTTTACAGATGACAAAAGTGAGGTGAAATTTCAGGCCCTGATTTTCCTTTCTGCATCCTGTTTCCTGCTCCTTGCTTGCTCAGGGTGGCGGGAGGGCACTGGGAGCGGCCAGCAGGTCTCAAGATAGAATAGAGCCCAACTCTTGACATCAGTGGGTTGAGGAAGGAGGCTTCTTGCAATAGAACAAGCGCCACCCCCCCCCCCCCCCGCACTCCCGGATGGTATTTGGGCTCTGCTGTCAAGAGTAGCTCCTCTTCTTGAGCAACAGAAGGAATTATTCTGGAAGTGATCCTGGTCATGCATTTGGGCTGAACCGGTTCAATCCGGAGGAGGCTGTTTCTCCCACAGTCACACGTGGGCTCGCTCTGTGCAGTTCCCACTGCTGATAAAGGAATTCTGGGCAAGAGAACTGTCATTTCCCCAGCCCGGAGCTCAGGCTCAGGTCGATTTGTAAAGCACGTCATGATTTATTCATGCCGCCTCCCTGGGCTTCCCAGGACGACCTTCCTCTCACACAAATGAGCGTGACTCCCAGAATAGAATGTCAGGCTTCATTAAGGAAAAAGTCCTAGTGTGGGGATGGCCCTTTCCTTGCTCCCTAGCTCCCTAGCCTGTCATTAGCACTTGAAGAATTCAGGTCAAATCCCAGGAAACCCCAGCTGGGAAGTGCCTTCAGGGGTGGGGGTACAGGGTGACATGTATGGAGGGCCCACCTCTGGGAAGGAACACTCCTGGACGCCAGCTCTTAGAGTTTCTCAGCATCCAGGACTCAGCTCCCCCACTAGAGGCAATGCCAAGGGTCCAGCAGAATCTCAGAAGGGACTGGGGCAGCTGTAGAACCAGTTCAGCAGTAGACTCAACAGTGACGGATTGGGTCAGTGTACAGCCTAGAGGTTTCCAGGAGGATCCTAGAACTAGTTTCGTATTGTTATTATGGTTCCTGGACTTGGGGAGGGCAGGGCTCTAAGCCCTTTGGAGCAAAAGTTTAGGGCATTTTTGCTCTTTCCCAAGTACTTAGTGAGGTGCCGCAGGGTGGTGCCCCTGGCACCTGGCTAGGTTCCTACCATCTGATGAGCTCAGCACAGGCCAAGATAGTGTTCAAGAAGGGCAGGACATTGCTGACTTGGGAACAGCAGGGGCGGGGCACTGTTACCTGGGGCTTAAGGCTTTTCTGGTGCTGCCCCAACAGCAGGGGACATGTGTGATCCTAAAAAGTTTGACATACAGTGTGTGTGTGTTTGTGTGTGTATGTGTGTGCATGTTTATGCACATGTTTTGGGATGCTCTCTAGTGCATCCTTCACTCCCTATTTCTATCCTATTCACGGCTGGTGGGTGACCTGAAGCTTCAGAGCAGCAGGTAGGACCTGGAAGAGGTGGCTTTGTAGAGGGCCACCTTACTCTCACACCATGCGGAAGCAACCACGGGTAGGACTGCCCATCCATCATCCGTTTATACTGATGCGCTGACCCCCTCCTGCTGCCTCCAGTTATTTGAGGGACACAGCAGGACCAGTGACTACCCTGGATGGCTGCAAAGAACCCAAGGCCTCACCCAGTTCTTTTGTGTTTGCTTGTTTTGTTTTGTAAGACCTCACATGAAAAAACCCCCAGCATGGTGGCACATGTCTGGGATCCCAACACTGGGGAGGGGATGACAGAAGGGTCCCTGAGACTTGCTGGTTAACCAGTCTAGTTTAGTTGGCAAGCCTCAAGTTCTAGTGAGACACTCTGTCTGAAAGTCTAAAGGGATGGCTCTGGGGAACAACAACCAAGTCTGCTCTCTGGCCTCTGTACACACTAACAAACACCTCACCTGCCGACCCCCACTCATACGTACAATTTCACCTGCACACACACATATGTACATATTTATACCTATCCATTCACACGTACATACCCATCTACACACACATTTGCACACACTCATGTATACACTCCTTACCTCTCACATACACACATGTACACACATATGCATCAGTGTACACACACATTCACATATCTTCCTTCACCTTACACACACACACACACACACACTTTTAGGAAGGATAATTTTGGGGAAAAATACTTCCAAACAGATCCCTGGGTTGAGCAGTAATGAAGAGATTGTTTCGAAACATCACCAACAGAGGGAATAAGACAGCAGCTTTTCTCGGACTCCAGGTCACCACACCAAAGCCAGCAGGCTGAGGATGTGTCCTCTCCCTGCTCCTGTGGCTCTGGGTGCTGATGCTTTTAAACCTGGTGAGAGGCTCTTCTGCCCCTTTCTGTGTTGGCCGCTACCTGGCATTGGCCTGTCACATGGTCATCTCAGTGGGACAGCCACTGTATATGCTCACTGCAGTTAGATATCGCCTTTCTGGCCTGGCTGCAGACCCGTTGACCCGTCCCTGTGTTCCCACACAGCTTCGTCTGAGGTCACCGAGAGCTCTTTATGTCACGTCGGACTGGCACATACCAAAGGGCTTACCGTGCAGAGTGTTTCGAAGGTCTTTTCTGAGACTAAGGATCCATCGAGGCCGAAGAGGAAGATGGACGCATAGGATAGCATTCCGCCCAGGATGATGAGGTTGTTCATGTAGGGACTCGACATCTTGATCAGCCTGGTGGGTAAGAGACACTGGGTCACACAGCATCTTCCAAGTGCCCTGGGCGAGCGCTGCTGCTAAGTCTTCAGATGAGGGAAATGGGGCCCTAAGCTATTCTGCTTCCAGGCTGACACCTCGCTGCTTCTGGAGAGGACATCCAGAGCTGCGCATTTTCCCAGCTTCTTCCTCAAGTCTTCCTACACTGGCTACAACAGCTCCGTCTATCTGAACTTTATAGGATTTGGGGCCAGGATTGGGAATAGTGTTAGATCTAATGATCATAGTGAGAGGGTGGTGCTCATACCACACTCTCCTGCCTGAGGGGGATGTTGCAGAGCCCTGCAGTGAGTATCCAGGCTTCCTCAGGTACTGCTCATCAGGTCTTGAGCCTCCCTTGGAGCACCCAGAAAGCTCCCATTGTTCGATATGCAAAGGGGGACAGGGTAGCAACACCTCAGTCACAACCCTTACCCCAGGAGTTGGCAGCTGGGCCTCCTGCCATCGTCTGTCCTCATCTTCACTGACTACAGGTGAAAGGCATTACCAGGGCCCAGCAAACCAGCGCTGAGTTAAGCCCCAAGAGGGCTAGGCTTTCTACCCAACCCAGAGGCCCTTGACCCTCTGAGCACATCTGGCTTGGAATAGTTTTGTAGACTGCAGCTATGGCCAATTGTTCCCCAGACATTTTCTTTGTGTTCTGCAGGTCTATAAATGAATCAGTCTTAGGCTCGGAGTGCTTCCTGGAGGAGGCGGTTTGCGAAAGTGTGATTGGGAAGAGAGAAGGGAGGGAGATTTAGTTCCCACAATTTTTGCAAATTTTTTCAATGGCTGAGCCAGCTGTATAAATCATTCGGGCAATTGAATGATTTGGCCACAAGGGGAAAATTTGAGAATTAATCTGGTGAGGCAGTGTGCAGCTCTAAGATCTCCTTAGACGTGTGGGAAGGCTGTAGGACACAGAGAAAAGACTATGTGCCTAGGTCTTGAGCCAAACGCTACCAGGTGCAGCCCTCACTCAGGACTGGTTCCAGTAGCTGTGTAAATTGCTGGTGCTTAGGAAAAAGACCCTAGGTGAATTGCTTTTACTTTTCAGGAAATGGGTTTGACCTAAGCAATTACTTAAACAAACAAACAAACAAACAAACAAACCAACAAACAACCAGAGCCTCCAAGTTCCTCTTTGGCAAGCAGAAAAAGAAGCAACATCAGAGCAAAACCCATTCCCTGGAATTGCCCTGCTCCCTACAAGTCTGTGGGTAATACAATGTGGCTTTGGGGGACAATGGCAAAGGCCCCATGTCCCGTGGACACATGTAGGGTCTCCCCCAATGCACACATGCTTCTAGCTTTGGTTCGGCCTCTCTCACAAGGCAGGAGCTGGGTTTAGTGATTTGCTATGGAAACTGGCAAAGGTCAAGACCAAGGCGTGGTTGCCTGGCTACTTACAGCTGAGCATAGTACCTCAGAGTGAGGACTTCCTGGGGAGAGCGGAGGGTGCTCAGTTATGCAAAGTACCTGACACAGATGGGACAGGCTGTGCCTCCTGCACAGCAGACCCCTGGTGACACTGGGAGTCAGGGGAAGGGTCAAATGCATGACGTGAGGGAGGGGCTTCCTGGGCTGCCATGTGCTGTACCAATGGCAGCCTCTGTGACTGAACCTGGAGGTCCTTTTCACCAGCTCTACCTAAAGGTGTTGAGAGTAGGGATGAGAAGCTGTGGACTCTGGGGTCTTCTGTGTCATTGCTGGCCTGCCAAGGTGATGATCATGTCCAGAGCGCTGAGAAGGTCCATGGACTTGGAATTCCCATTTCTACTTTATTTAACTTAGCCCTCCAACAGTCCAGCTGCCCCCTCCCTATCTCTCCCTCTGTGTGCACATGTGTGCGTGTGCGTGCGTGCGTGTGTGTGTGTGTGTGTGTGTGTGTGTGTGTCCTAAATCATCTCAGTGACTAGGTAGCCCACTTCAGGAACCCCATCCAAAAATTTCAGTGCTCCCAGAGAATCTGCCATGCTGATGGTGGAGCAAGGACCTGGTCCATCCAGAAAGCCTTCTCCCAGCACGGGGCAGGGCTGCTTACTTCTGGTTCCGGTTCTTGATGTTGAAGAAGAGGAAGGCACTGGCCATGATCATGCCGAGGATGGTGAGGGCCGACAGGATGCTGTACAGCGGAAGGGAGATCTTTCGCAGCTGTTCCAGGATGATGGTCTTGTCCTTGGGTGGCTCAGACCCTGCAAGGTCAAGGAGAAGCTATCAGATCCGGTGTAGTCATTCTCCAAGGACGTTCGGCCTCTGTGTCCTTCGTATCTGGCCAAACACAACACCTGTACCCCACACCAGGCCTGTGGACCCACTGGGTGAGAGGCTCTAGTGAGTCCCCAGCCTGCCCAGCAGGAGCCTGAGCCAGGACTTATTTCTTTCTCTAAATAGAATCAATAAGGGGTCTGCGATGCATTTAACAGCCATTAGGAGACTAGAATTTGATTTGGCCTAATTACGCTGTTGAAAAACCATCACCATTTATCCCCGAAGGTAACCATGTCTGGGAAGGCAGAGAGGTCCCGTTGCTGGGTGCCACTGGGCGGGGGTGGGGGAGGGGGTGGGGACTCGGTGGCAAAGAACTTGGCACGGGTCTCAAGGACTCCGCTCCTACCTGAACATGATAAATGATCTTGCTCACTAGGGCAGACACCTGGCCTGCCAATTCTAGGGTGACAGATATGTGCTCCAGCTGCAGATTCTCAGCCTCAAGGTCATTATCACAAAAGCTCTTTGGTTTTCTGTTTCCTAAGACCCGGCGAACTGTGGGAGGTGGAAGCTAACCCCCTCTCACACAGAGCCGGGGCCAGGCTGAAGCTATGGGGGTTCCTTTCTCTCTGTGCCTGCCAGGCTGCCTGCCTCATTCTTCAAGGGCACGAGGAACTCAGGGGGTGGGCACTGAGAGGCTCAGAACAAGTGCATCGCCCTGCATGGCTACCTGTTTGCTCTCTTAGGTGACCTTGTACGGGCTGGTCTGGGATAGAGAGAGGCAGGAGCTCCCCCAACCCTGGCTTCCTGGAAATCCTCTTCTCTCGTGTGCTATCTCAAGACAGGTGTCTGCTGTGAAATTATAAACCGTCAAGACCTTCTTCTCCAGTGGACAGATGTGAAACCTGCTAGATGCAGAGGAGTGGCCAAGACTGGAGCCCTATCAAAAATGATGGTGACCCGGTGGCAGAGCCTCAGTTAGGCCTCCGTTTCCAGGGGACAAGCTGGGGGACAGGCAGGCAGCAGTGGAGTAGAGAACAAGCCACCTCACCTGGGCTGGAAACCTGAGCATGCAAGTTCAAATGTGTGTAGAGACAGTCAGTGGGGACAGTGGAGATCTCTGTCTAAGAGACCTAGAAAAACTGTGGGTTCTAAAGGATCTATGGATGGTCCAGAGTGTTAAGGAAAAGCCTCAAGGAGGGAAGGAGGGAGGGAGAGAGAAATAGACAGATACACAGACAGATAGATAGAAAGATCCATGAGAGGAGAGGCCCAAGGCAGACAGATAGACAGCATTTTCCACTTCTAGAAGCCAGAGCTTCATACCCAGGAACTTCTTCCTTATACCCCCATTCCAGAATGTGCTGTGCTGGGGCTGGTTCAGGGATCTTCCTGCTCCCAAACTCAAGGACAGTCCTTAGGGTTCTTGGCGGGAAATAAGCCCCTCTCAAGGCCCTGAGTCCTGGATCAATGATGGTATGATTACTAGTGGGTTTGGGTCTACCGTTCAGCCACAACTTTACCATCTCCTCCTGCACCAACTCTTCACACATAGCTTCCTCTCTCCAGCTCCCTTCTCTACCGAATGGCACCTCCACTAAGCACATCTCAGCTACAATCACGGGAGCGTGATGGAGATGCTGAACAGCTGTGCTGGATGCAGCCCTGAATTTTGTTTTCTTTCATTCCTCATTCATCCACGCACCATTGAGAATCACCTCCCATCAGTCAGGCCTGATGCCGGACATTAAGAATACATAATGAACAAGATACAGTCTCTGCCCTCGGGGGTGGGGTCCAGCCTTGGGGAAAGAGCAGAGCAATATGAGGCAACACCAATTTCTGAATGCTGGCTTCAGGATGATGCTGAGACGAGAGATGAACAGATGGAGGCTTTAATGTATGGACGCTCAGCTTATCTGCACACTATAAATAAGATATAAATATTAGAGCCTTTTCAATCGACTCATCCATCACCCTTATGGGTGGTGGGCTGAACAGTCTTTGTGACTTCTAGAGCTAGTAAGTGGCTGGCTGGCAGGACTGAGACCCAGATCTGCTTGGCTCTAAAGCTGGTGCAAACAGATCCTGTGGATGCAGCCTGGGGTGAACATCCCCCAGGCTCTCAGGCATAGGATAATCTGAGTACCCAGCAGGCAGCAGAGAGCAGCTCTCCAGGATGGAGTCAGGAGATGCTTCCTAGAGTGGGGAGTGGGAAGCAACTGCTGGAGGGTGAGAAGAGAGGCTGGTGGTCACCAGATGAGAAGGAAGGTACCAAGGTGTCCCAACACTGGAGGAACTGAAGCCGTTCGGCCAGGCAGAGAAGATGGAGAACTGTGGAGAGGGCCCCCTCATGGATGTTTTAGGGATACAGCACAGAGCAAGATGCCTCTCTGAACCTTGGGACCACAGTGAAAACACGCTTTGCTACCAGCCTGTGTCTCTTCTTTATTTTGTATTTGATACTTTCTCTCTATTGTCTTCCCCAGTGCTGGGGGCAGAGCCTGGGCCTCCTGCGTGCTGGGCCAGCACCCTATCAGGAGTTCAGTACCCAGAATCCTTATTCCAAAAGCCCCCCTCTCCTCAGTCTAGGAGCAGACAGATCTCTCATGATATCAGGACTCTAGAGGTTAGGACAGGCTGTGTCCTTCACAGGTGGTGTGAATTTGGGGTGACACCATTTCTGAGCTCTTTTCTATTTCCTTTTTTTTTTTGGCTTTTCCAGACAAGGTTTTTCTGTGTATCCCTGGTTGTCTTGGAGCCTGCTCCATAGACTAGGCTGGCCTCGAACTCACAGAGATCCACCTGCCTCTGCCTCCCCAGAGCTGGGATTAAAGACAGTCTCCACCAACATCTGGCCTGAGCTGTTTTCTTAAATGTACAAAAAGACAAACCCATCGATTTTCAGTGGGGGTGTGAACTATAACATGCCACACTGTACTGGGTGTTGGCTCCCTCAGGTGGCGTGGGGAGGATGGCCGACAGTGGAGGACACTAACTGAATCTCTGCAATGTTCTAGGAGCTGAGCTCTATAGATCCATAGATGGACACGACCAAGTCCCACCTAAGGCACCATAAGAGAGCTCTGTCTGGTGGTCTTGGGTTTAATGATTAACTCTGGGCACAAAAAAATTCCTGATGACCTAATATGAATTAAGCAACAACTGTCTGGGTGCCACAGACTTCCAGTTTCCTCTTCTGCTATTCAGAGACTAGGCCGTTCATCCAGTCTACCTATCCATGTATCCCTCCACGCATCTATGTTTTTGTCCAGTTATTCAGTCACTAACTACTCATCCATATCTGTATGCATATATGCATACATGCAGCTGTCCATACATCCATGCAGGCCTACTAGTTCATCCATGTATCCATCTATGCATCCAGTTATTTATGTATTCATGCATCCATCCATCCATCCATCCATTTATCCATATCTATCTATCTACTCTCTTATCTATATACCCACCCAACTCATTTCCAGGCTTTTATCTGTCCTATCTACTTATATAGAATCAGTCACCATTCACCAGCCTATTCTTTTATCCATCCATCCATCCATCCATCTACCCACTCACCCACTTATCCACCAACCCACACATTCATCCATATCCATCCACTCATCTATTTACCCACCTACTCATCCATACATCTGTGTATCCATTTACTCAGACATCTACTTGATATTTTAGTTTTTTTCATTAACTACCAAGTTTCCAACATGGCAGATCCTGGCTGACAGATAATTTAGAGAGAAATAGAACTCAGAAAGGGGCTCATGGTCTCTTCCAATATAAAGCAATGGTGGTCATAGAAAAGCCACAAACAGAAGACAAACGACCAGAAGCAAAGAGAAGGGAGCGATTAGCTCCCAAACTCCACAGGTTCGCCCCAGGATCTGGACCCCACAGAGTGGGTTGGGATCTGTGCTCAGTGAGTGAGTAGTTGTGTCGAGGAGGCTCTCGGCCTCACAAAGCCGAAGATGCTGAGCGCTTGGCGCGCCCTCCGGGAAGTCCACAAGCCTTACCCTGGAACCTGATGGTGTCGTTGATGATCTCCAGCGTGTCAGCCACTGCGTTGTACTCGCCTACCTTCACCTCCTTTTTATCTGTGGAGAACGAGAGACAGAGGCCAGTCAGCTGGGGTCCCAGGCTCATGTCTGGGGGCTTTCATGGACCCCGGCTGTCTGCAGTTTCCCCTTCTTCTCACACCAACTCCAGTTAGGATCACAGAGCTTATCACTGTCCTGGGCTGGTTCCTCAGCAGGTGTCCCCCCGCCCCCTGTGCTGCATCCCTCAAGATGGGAAGAAAGTCCATTTCTAATCCACAATCTCCTGAAGACCCTGGTAAGTGAGGACCCCAAAGCCCTGTAGGCATTCCACCAGCTGTAGGTAGTGGGGACCACCTCTTCCTCCATTCTGGACAGGACCAGTCTGCGAGTGCATCCTGACGCAGAACCGGGATGGTTCAATAGCCAGGCTGCTCTGTCGAGACATCGAGCGGTACCCCAATACTCTTGTTTCCCTGCATGCCTGTTCAGTGTATTCTCCTGTCTCACTGGTCAATCCTGGATGCCTTCATTCTCCTTATTATTTCTTGGCTTTAGTTCACTGTATTGGCCATCTTCAAGGATAAAGATGGTATCAGGAAAAAAGGTTTTCTTTTCCCAAGTAACATAGGCCACCGGGTGACAAATGGTGGTTCCTGTGTGACAGTGTTGAGGTGGCGGGACCTTTAAAAAGGGGCCTGGTGAAAGGCATTTGGGTCACTGGAGGTGTCCCTTTCTAGTGACATGGACGCCATTCTAAATGGGGTGTGGTTTCTTCTGTGAGAATGAGCTGATGGGACCTGCTGAACTGTCTGCCAAGCAAGTTTCTTTTCTTAGAAAATACTCAGCCTCAGGTATTTGTTACAGTAACAGATAATGACCAACAGTGGCTAGACGTAGGCTCCTTTATGTCTATTCTCTGTGTGGTACCTTCAGTGTGTGGTGAATGGGCTCTTAGTGCTCCTTTGCTGGCAACAAAACTAAGTCTTGAGAGTTGGCCATGGCTTTGTCTAAGGCCCCAGCAGCACTAGGAACGGAGCTCAATTCCAACCCTGGGCTTTTCTCATGGCTCCTGCTCTTCCTGACTATGGTGCCATGATGGGATTCCTGAGTGACAGCTCTGTGCCTGGCTACGGAGTGGCTGGCTCCATGGCTCACCCCTAGAGGAGCTCATCGACTGCTCTAAAGTCACCAAGGTGCAGGTGGGTCCCCGAAGCTGCAGACTCCAGCCAGCCAAATGTCCAGAGCTTATAAAGGGCACCCAAGGGGACCCCAGGGAGATAGAGCCTGGACTGAGTTTGCAGAAGTACAGAAGCCCTGCTCATCCCTTGTAAGCATTCAGAAGGCAGACTGGAGGATTTCCTAGGCCACACTTCTGCCTGTTTCCTAGGCTTCAGGGAAAGAGAATGGTAAAAGTCACGGGGGAGGGGATCCACACCATGTAGGTGGCTGCTGCTTGCTTGGGTCACCTAGGTCTTAAATGTCATATTAACACACTCTGTAGGGGGCTCCGGGTTCCCCATTGTCACCTTTGGAAGTTCTGAGTCCCACAGGCTCCCCAGTCAGCTCCCATCACCAGGAGGAGGAGGCCCTAATTTATTTATTCAGCAGGGGGAGGCAGCGCATGAAATATGCAGACCCTTTGGAACAAACCCTCAGGACTGGGGAAGTGGCACTGCAGGGACCCCATGGCGCCCACAGTCACACAGTCCGCTACAGATTCATACAAGCTGCCGAATGCACTGCCCCATGGAAATGAAATAATATTCAACTTCCCACGAAGATCATAATCACCATAGTTTCTCCTAGGAGGTAATACTGGGAGGATCCAGGACCTAGCAAGTTTCTGCATTGCGTGATTGGAACCATGACCTAACTCCCCTGTCCAGAGAGAAAAGATGGGCCTCAGACAGGCAAAGGAAGGGCTTGAAGTCACATGGGCCAGAGCCCAAGGAGCACCTGATATGGTTGCCTTGCTTCTGCTTCAAGGTACCTCTCCTGCTCATGCTGAGCCGGGCTGCCCAACATCCTGCCTCCATTTATTGAGTACTTATTTGCATGCTGAGCCCAGCTCAGGGGCTCAAACCATCAATAATTTTCCATAAGCAGTTCAAAGTCAAAGTTACTCCCACGTCCTTTACTAGGGCGGTGTGGGACATCTTTGATGTCACATAAGTGTTTACACTAAGTCCCTGAGTTTGTCAGGTACCTGCAGTGGGCCAGGCTCCAAGCTGGGGGCTGGAGACACAAAGATGTAAAACATACAGATTGCATGTATGTACCTGCCACCTCAGCACTAGGGAGGCTGCGACAGGAGAATAGCAAGGTGGTCAGGGCCAGCCTGGGCTACATAATGACAGCCTGTCTCAGAACATTTACCAAGCTGGTTCAACTACCAGGAAATGGTAGTTATTTAACCCATGAAGAGAGCGAGTGAGCCTTGCTGAACTCAGACACTCCATGCGTTCTCTTATTGCAATCGCTGTCTCTCCTTCATGCTTTCCTTATCCCCAACCAAGTTTATTCTGTTTTTAACACGGTCTCACTAAGTTGAATGGGCTAGCTTTGAACTTCTAAGTTGCTGAGGCTGGCCTTGAATTTGTGGTCCTACTGCTATAGCCTGCCTGGCCGTTGGGATCACAGTGTGTACAAGACGCTTGCCCCTTTCTGTTTTTCCATCCACTGGCTATGTGTCAGCCTGACATGAAGCTAACACTTGCAGCAAAAGTATTTTATTTATTATGATTAGTGTGTAGGTGTGTAAGGGTCAGGGTCAATTGTTGTGGGTTGGTTCTTTCCTTTCACAGTGGGTTTTGGGTGGCAAATTCAGGCTGTCAGTCTGCAACGGCAAGTGATTTTACCCACTGAGCCATATTGAAGGCCCAGCACTTCCAGGTCTTCAGCCTGGGCCTCTGCCCTAAAAGCATGTGACAATTGTACGGATCCATGTTGGGTCTTAGAGAGCTCACAGACAAGGCTGTCTGTGTACAGCCTGGAAGGAGGACTATCCCAGCAGGGGTAGGGGCCATTACAATGGCTGTCACTGGCTGGTCCCTGTCCCCATGCTTGGCTGTGTTTGCTATCAGGTCTTTCTCCAGCAGCGTTGAGTGGCTCTGATGGCTCTGAGCCTTAGTGGGGACTTAGAGGTCTGGGGTTCTGAAACTTTTAGATTTCTGGGTACCAGCCTGTTCATCATAGAAACCCCAGACGTTAAGAAGTGGATCCTGTGTAGGGGTTGTGTTTTCTAAAAGCTTCCAAATCTGACCTTACCACACAGATGGAGTGAAGAGCCACTGGGCCGCACTCTGGACTTTCAGTATGGACAGTCTCTGGTTCTTTTTTGTTTTTTGAGACTGGGTCTCTCTGTAGTTTTGGAGCCTGTCCTGGAACTAGCTCTTGAAGACCAGGCTGGCCTCGAACTCACAGAGATCCACCTGCCTCTGCCTCCCAAGTGCTGGGATTAAAGGCGTGTGCCACCACTGCCCGGCTTCAATTTTCTGGCTCTTAGAGGCTAAAAATATTATGAACCAGAACAATCCTAGCTTTTCTCACACTCTCTTTAAAAGGTGCGTTATCACTCTTATCTTTCTTTCTAAATCTTGCATTTGGGAACCTAGAGAAAACAGAGCCCATTGGCAACAATTTGGATGCTGAAAAATGTCCAGTTTGAAAATAATTTCTGGCTGTGGGCCAAAGAGTGTCCAGGAGTCAGTTGGACCAAGGCTGAAACAGGAAGTGACATTGCCTCCTCCCTAGGTTGCATCCTCCAGACAGGAGAAAAAGCTCCATTTGACATGGTCTCTATTCTGTCCCCCTGTGCTCCCTGTGACATGATCTCTATCCCGTCCCCTTATGCTCCTTGTGACATGGTCTCTATCCCGTCCCCTTATGCTCCTTGTGACATGGTCTCTATCCCGTCCCCTTATGCTCCTTGTGACATGGTCTCTATCCCGTCCCCTTATGCTCCCTGTGACATGGTCTCTATCCCGTCCCCCCATGCTCCCTGTGACATGGTCTCTATCCTTCCCCCTGTGCTCCAAGTGACATGGTCTTTATCTCATCCCCCAAATGCCCGTTCTTACTTGATTCTAGTTTGAAGGAGGCAAACATATGTGTCGAAGTTAAATTATTGGCCTGCTAGAGTGGTGAGTCCCTGTAATTTAGAATTTAGGAGCTAGAGCCAGAAGGATTACAAGTTTGATGTGGGCTACAGGCCAGGCTGCAAAATCAGGTCCCGAAAGCCTGAACTGTGGAGACGGTGTCAGAAACAAAACAACGCAAAAAAGAGTTGTAAGAAGACCTAACTATCAAAAATTCAAAAAAATGTAAAGCAGAGGACCTTATCATGGGGGTAGTGGGGGTGTGCACACCCAAACTTAAAAGTTCTGCTCCATAAGGACTTGAAATTTACAGAGAAGTTGCAGACCGGGTGACACTTTTGAAGTCTAAAGCTAATGAGGGTCAGAGGGTCAGAACTATCAGTTAGCAAATGGCTCAGAGGCTTAACATGTTAGGGAGCTGACCCTGAAAGCCACTGAATAACTTAGTTAGGGAGAGGGGAGGAAAAAAGAGGGAGAAGGAGGAAGAGAAGAGGGGGGATGGAATAGGGGGGACACCCCACAGGCAGGAAGGAGGGGCACAGGCATCCCTGTGCTAGTGGCATGAAGCAATAGTCACAGAAGTCTGACAGACGTATGCACATTTAAGGCGCACACTGTCTCCGACCCAAAGGTCCGCAGAAGTCCCAGTTGAATCCATAAGGGGACATGTATAAGGCCTTACTATTCATGAGGATACAAAGTCTGAGATAAGCTGGTGCTTGTAACTGGGGGGTGGGTGGGGCGCAGGATGGATGTATCCATAGAGACAGTGAAGCGCTCCCACCAAGGAATCAGAGGTATATTTAAAAACAGCGTGGTGGGTATAAAACAATATCAATCACAAGAACAGGGAAAGCCAAAAAGCCATGTAAGCCCGTGGCATTGAGGCAAACTCAAGATATTCACACAGAAAATGGCAATTCATGTTGGGGGAGGACACACAAAGGCAAAAGGTGTGGGTTACCCACTGGGGAAGCGGGGTACGGTATAAATGAGGGGAACAGGTGTATGAACAAGACAGAGGGTCTTTCATGTGCCAGTGAGGCGCATGAGGCAAAGCCACACTTGTGGTCATTGTTGAGAATGGCCAGGAGAGAAGCTACCGGCAGCTGTGATGATGGTCCCCCACGCCAGTCACCTAGCCAGACATACGACTGCAGCAGGTCACTGAATACTCAGTAACTTTCACAGCAAGGGACACGACTGTCTCTTATTTCACTATTTTTAGATAAACTCTGAAGTGAAATTTCAGAGCCATTAGGCTACACCGCCTGGAAAACAGTGATGTTTTCACATGAGGGGGATGAGCTCCCCATCCCTGGAGGTATTCAAGCAGAGACATGGAGAGTCAGGGCTCCTTGTAACACACAGAATCTGCAATTCTATGAAGCACAATGCATTCTATCTTTTGGGCCCCCTTCCTTGAGGGGGTTCCTCGTGGACAGTGAAGGTTAGGAAGTCTCTAGGCTGGAACAACACTCTGGTCCCAGTAGGTCCACCTTCACTAGTGTCCTGTCCCTGCTGACCCATGACCCTGCTAGAGTGTGCTGAAGTTCAGGGACTCCACCTTCAGTCTTACGGAAGCCAGTGTTTGAATCCACGGAGCCTTTCAGACTGTGGGTGGTGAAGGGTGTGGCAGTGTGTGTCACGAGACAGGAAAGGACATTAAAAACCAGCTTCAGGAGTCTCCAACCAGCGCCAAACTGTCCCGAGAGTTCTCTAGTAGGTTCTGGGACGCATCTTCCCGTCTTTATGGGTGCTGACATTTGGCCAGAGAGATTATGAAGTCCCTGGACTGGGGGCAGGAACTGTGTCTTATCCAGCTTGGTGCTACCCTGGAGGGCACAGCAAAGCACCAGGCAGACGCTGGAGACGGGAGACGCTGTGTCCGCATCTGTGCACCCAGAAGACCAGGCGGTAATTAAGGGTGTGCTTGGGAAGGAGGGGCTTCCACTGCTTGGGGTACGTTATGAATGACAATTATAGCATTAAGAGCCTGGAAGAGCCCATCCCTCTTGATGAGGTGTGCAGACACCAGCCCCAGAGGCCGTCCTTTATATCTCAAGGAAGCCACCATCCGCCAGTCTCACAAACGGGCCTAATGAAGGCAGGCTGCTGGGAGCAGATGCCGGGCCTTCTATGGGAACACCAAACAAGGCCTAATCACGCCCTGCTTGGCTTCCTCCCGGCTACACATTCCCAGCGCTGCTTGGAAGAGGCAGTTACTGGGAATCTTTTTTCTCTTAAAGGAGAGGAAAAAGTTACTTTCCCAATATTCATTTCCATCCACACAGAGCTCAGGAGAAGGCAGAGTGGGTGGAGGATGAGCAGGAAATGGCCACAGCCAGGGTGGGCGTGGCTCTGCAGGATGGCCTCACCTGCCACCCAGGGTGCAGAGTTTTTTTGCCCAGCAGGGAAGGGCACATACACATGAGCTATGAAGGAGGAGGGTCTAGGATATGGTGTTGGGGGCATGGCCAGTGGGGCAGGCAAGGGAGAGGAGAGGGACATGAATTGGGCAGTTGTAGGTTTCTACCTGGACAGCTGAGGCTGGAGCTGCTATTACCTTTGGGGAGGAAAGTCAACATTCTTTGGAGGTATTCTATCCAAAGTGAAGGCTTCTGGGTATTTGTACCTAGTCGCTATCGTGGCTCTGGGTTGATCCCAGAAATGGAAGCACTGATTTCCCAGACAACAGGACCTACTCCTGGTTCCGCAGGAGGAGGAGCCACTGGTCCTAGGGGGATGCTGTTTGACTTGTTCTGGGCAGGACCACAAACCTGGTCCTTACCGTTTGCTGTGCTGTCTGCCCTATGAGTTCAGGTATGCTCAACCCACAGCTGCTGAAGTTGATGACAAGCTTAACATACGAGAAATAAGAAGGTGATAAAAATCAGCATGCACCACTGCGATCAGGGGACCCACATTCTACAAAGCACCTTGCGCGAGGGATATAATTTGAGAACGAGAAACGTGACAAAAGGGTTTAGCTGCCATCATTCAAAAAACAAGCATATTTGCTAGGCTGCTTACTTTGTTCAGCCAATGAAGAAGACTTAACAAATGGGAAAATAATTACATTTGCCTAAGATGACACCTTTTGTGCACGCTAGAGAGCTGACATGCGTTTCAATTACCTGCCCTGGGAAGATGAATGAGCAAACTACGCAGTCGCATTAGGAGGAGGCAGCCTGAGAAACACCTCTCCACACTGATCGGAAGCCTGGTGGGATTCGCCGGAAAGAATCTGAAGAGCTTACTTTAATTCTGGCTTTCCTTGGAATGACTGTGGGATCTGCTTCCCTTCTCGTCAAGACGCCAAGAAGAAGCGCTCTTACAAATGGTCTCTCCAGTGGGGCTACCACAATCAGAATGACAGAGGCAACTGTCTCAAGGAGTGTCCAGCCCCGCTCTCCTGTGTGCCCCAGGACTCTGACGAGCTACCAGCCTCTCTGAACTGTGTTCTCGCCACACAGGGAACATGGCTGGGGTGGTTTCTGAGCCCCACCTTGACTCCGGTAGCAGCAGCCAAATCCACCAAATGGATTGGTTCCTGCGGAACACCAAGTGGTAAACAAAAAGTGTGTGCATGGGGGCGGGGGGGGGCAGGCAGAGGGAGTGGAGGGTGTAATAAAGCAGAGGCTAAGGAGACACACTGGACTTGTGTGATTGTTGGACCTTGTGAGGGTTCTCCATTAAACTGTCAGCTCGGAATGGTTGGAGGACTGATAGATGGGGCGTGGAAAGACATTAAGAACCGTGGAACCTTCCTGTAGGCACAGTGGCTATGTCCTCCAGAAGAAATGCACATGGAAGGATTTATATATTGAAATGAGCTAATGTCTACGAGCGGCCCTACAACGGCTAGCAAAAAGTGGGCAGGTCGGGGTGAGCCAAGACAATGTAAGACTGGCAAAGGGCAGGCAGTGGCTTTGGCTGGGGGCTGGAGATGCGGGGATCTTTACATTGGCCTGTCTGTCATGGGGTCTGTTGAACACTCCTGTGATCAAATCCTGAAGTGATGCAGCCTTCTCGGCATAGTGCTATCGACTTACCCACGCTCCCCTTTCTGAGAGTCTAGGAATTACAGGGGGGTAGGGTAGGCTTGGGGAGCTAGGCATTTGAGAAACAATTTTTCACACAGCTGTAACTCATGCTCTCATGGGGAAGCGCTTCCTATCGACTCTTGTTTTATCTGGAATCTCATATCAGATTTCCATCTCTTCTGATGCCTTTTATTGCAGAAACACAACATCCCTGAATATAAATGCCGTCAGCTGGAAAGAATAAGCATCAGAAAGCCTACCTTGAAATTGAGTAAATTTAATGGTTCCCATTCTCTCTCCGTTCCGGAACACAACTTGACCCTAAAAACAAAACAAAACAAACAAACGGGAACAAAAGAGAAATGTCACATTAGCTCACCGAGATCTTGAACGGCGTGATGTGGCTATTAATACTGGGGAGAAATCGGCTCCCATTGGAGGCAGACACCAAAGTCAAACTCATCGCCTACGCGTTAGTTGTGACTTTATCTGCTTAATATGCGAGGATCACAAAATCAATAATGGAACTGTCATCGATGAACAAAAGCCGAGATGGCATTGCCATTAGCACAGTGATTACGGAATGCCCACACGGCTGTGTTGTCATGGGACAAGGTCTTCTAGTGGGTTGAAGGTAGAGGTGGGGCTTCTGATGGTGGGTCCTGTGCGCACTCAGAAAGATATAGGGCTTCCCTCAGGCTATCTGGTTGGAGGACTATCAGAGTGCTGGAGGGTGGAGCGGGTCTTCTTTTAAAAAATTCTATCTATCTATCTATCTATCTATCTATCTATCTATCTATCTATCTATCTATCTATCTACCTATAGATCAGTGTGTGTGGTTTAATACTAAGGATGGAGAATGTTTTGGAAAACTCATCCTGCGGTGATGTCAGCCCCAATTATAACTGGGCTATGATGCAGCTCGAAATTAAGCATCTCCATCCAGCAAGACCTGACTACTGTCACAGGCAGCTGAGCGCCTCTCATTAGGGACTTGGGGGCTAAAGATTGCTGTCATCTCCAGCATCTGCCTTGATGGTTCCCATATGCTTGGCTGAGAACACTAGGGATTAAAGAAGCCACATCAGTTCTTTTTGCCCACTTGTGGTCCCTGCTAGAATTCTGTAACCACGGAAGGAAACCGACGAGGAGAAACTGACACGCAGCCTGTCACTGCAGCTTGACAACTAGCTTAGGTGGTGTGGGTGATGCCCAATTTACAGATCAAGAAACTGAGACTAAGATGGGGGAAATGGCTCAGTGGATAAAGTACTGTGAGGACCTGAGTTTGATTCTTTAGAATCTGCGTAAAAAACTGGGAGTGGCAGGGTACATCTGTAACCCCTGTGCTGTTATGTCGAAACAGAAGGTGAAGCCGGGAGAGGCCCTGCCAGCAACTGGGGCATCTGACCTCTTGAAGAACAAAGAGATCCTGCCTCAAACAAGGTGAAAGGTGAGGACCAATACCTAAGACTGCCCCATTTCCTCATGCACACACATATGAACGCGCGCACGCGCACACACACACACACACACACACACACACATGCATGGACATGTATGTGCATGCGTGTGTGGGGAAGTGTGTAAAGAAAAGAAATGGAGAAAGGCTAATGTGTTGATTGCAAGGTCATTGTAAATGAGGCTGGAATCCAATCCCAGTTTCGTTTTATTTGTTTAGAAGTTGCCGAGGATCAAACGCAGGACCTCGTGGCTACAAGGCAAGTGTTCTACCACTGAGCTACATCCCCGACCGTATTTCATTAAGACCCATGCTATTTCACTAGTGTTGCTTCAGCTCCTAAAACACATGCCTCCTCCTCTTGCTGTTACGGTGAAATTCAGGAAGGAAGCTGTTTCCATGGTACCCTGCTTCCCTCTCCCTGCGATGCACCTGCCCTGCCTGGGCAACGGTACTGCGCATCCACTCCATTCTCAGGAGAAGGTCCTGGGAGCATCTTCCATCGGGGAAATCCACGGGGTGGGGCCCCATGGCTTGGAGAGCAAAGAGGATCCCGCAATGTGTCCTCAGAAACACCTTCCCATGCCACTTTGACACCTTTTTGACGTCCTGAAGACAGCTGTGAGCGGCACCATTTTGAAACTGAACACCCACCCCAATTCCACATTCAGGTGGCAGTAAGCAATTCCCTAAAGTGTGAAAACACTTCAACGGAAGGTGAGACAGGAGCTGTGATTTTATTTCTAGGGATGATTGGAAATCTCAGAACACCTTCCAAAAGGATCATGTTTATGCAAATGGACCACTTTACCTGGGTGGGAAACATGCAAACAGCTCTCCACAAGGAGAAAATGGAAAAAAAAAATCCCCCAAGGGCAAAGCCCTAAATTCTTTACTGATCTCTTGCCAGGATCTGAAGAATTCCAAAGGCGTTTAGGTCTACAGTGCGGATGTTCTACAGATTCTGGTGCCGTTAAAAAAGTGCGTGGGAGGGTGTCCTTGTCCAGATGAAACCGGTGGAACAGGGGCAGGGGTGGAAAAAAGATTCTCCCTCTGATTTTTTTTTTAGTATTGTCTTCTGTTTTTCCTTTTGAAAAGATTTATTGTTTCTTTCAAATCATGCGCGAGTGTGTGTGTGTGTGTGTGTGTGTGTGAGTGTGTGTTTGTGGTCCATCGGCCCGTCTACATTAGCGCTGGTGCTCACAGGGGTCAGAAGAGGGCATCAGATCCCCTGGAGCTGGAGTTCTAAGCGGCTGTGAGCCTCCCGAAGCCTGGGAACTGAACTCAGGTCCTCGGCAGGTACTCTTCACTTCCGGACCCATCTTTTCAGTCTCTTGTTTTCTTTTTAAACAAAACTAAGTACTCCACTTTGAAGTAAGACTTTCCATGTTTTAGTTTACCAGCAATAGCTGATTTTATTAGCAGGAACTCACCCCTCCTTTTTAATGTCTCAGGAAACACAGAGGTAGGAGAGCAAGACCAGAGTCTCACAAGCCAGGCTCCATCTCTTCCGAGGCGACATTCCTGACAATATCCCTAAATTACAGTCCCTTCTAGCTCCTGATAGGTCATAGGCACTCAGAGGGCGTATCCTGATAGGACACAGGCACTCAGTGGGCGGCTCCTGATAGGACACAGGCCCTCAGTGGGCGGCAGTGGTCATTTTCATTTAAATGCTTTTAATAGCAGAGAGTTGAAAGAAAAAGATCTGAGACGCTAGGAAGCTGTCAACACTTTGGAAGAGATTTTCAACTCCCAGTGACATCACTTGGCAAGGAGTTAACCAGGTAGCCTCATCCTCCCAGAAGGGTCATCCCCAGATGACAGACCCACAAACCTCATGAGCCCCCACCGTGTGCTCTGCCTCCCCACAAGAGGGTGGTTTATCCTTAATAGAGATGGTTTTTGATTGTGGCAGACGGTGTGGATGATACACGGATAGCGGTTGACTGCTGATGGTCTGTCTGTACCAGAGAGGAGGCCCAGAGCTCGGAGAAACCCCTCTGTGGAAACTGTGTCATGTGACCCAGTGTGCCCAGTGACCTCTCCTTTACTATTCTCTTGAATCATTGCCAACTACTCACAGGGCCGTTGGTCCAGCCAAGGAAGGCCTCCCGTCCGTGAGAAGATTTTCAAGAAGGCCTCTTTAGAAGCTACCCTATGTACCCATGTTACAAGATGGCCAGCTCAGAACACAATATTTGACCTAAACTATGACAAGCATTCTTTGTTTTAAATTGGCTCTCACTCTGTTGCCCAGGCAGGCCTCAAATTCCAGGTCTCAAGAGGTCCTCCTGCCTCAGTTTATTCAATGGCAGTTGGGTCTCCAGGGGTGCCTCACTGTGTCTTGTGTAAGTACCTCCCTGGGCAGGGAATCTCACTCCAGGGAAGCTTTGCCTCGGGAAATGAATAGGAAATGTCCATCAGTGGTGGGGCTGTGACCAAGGAAGAGGCCGATCTAATTGCAGAGCTGGTCTTGCTTCTCTCAGTCCCTTTTGACTTTGGCTCCGAAGACAACTTCCCGACTCATTTCCTGTAGGCAGCAGCCCTTGCCTTCAGGGCTGCTTTGAGTAACCCAACCCAAGATATCCAGTTGTGAAGGGCCTGGGCAGGAAGTGGGGAGTAAGGGATTCTGGGTGACATCCCAATGACCACCAGCCTTCTGTGACTTACTGTGGTGGCTCACTGCAGTGAAGGGAGTGGGGGAGCCAGGGTGGGTAGGGGAAGGGGGACTGGAGATGTAAGTAGAGAGGAGCCTTCATCCTGGAACCCAGCTGACCTCTCCTGCAGTGAGGCAAGAGTTGCAGCTCAGTCAGCAACTGCTTAAGGCCTTTCCGCTTTCCCAGATGCAGACCTGTGATTTCCTAGGACGTTCACTAGAAGACTCATTTACAAGGCCAGGATGCGTACTAACCCCCTTCTTGGCTCCTGGTTTTGCCCTGTCAGGTTATAATTCCACCTCTGATGTCTCCAGAGCTCACTTATCTCACTTATCAAAAGAGAAGGGAAGAAAATAAAATACTGTTTCTTAGCAACCTTTTGAGATGCACCTCAAGAGTCACCAAAATGGTATACAGAATTATTGCTAAGACAGTTACTTCTGTCCTTAGAGGAGCCTGGGCCCACACGTGGGAGTGCATAACTCATCGTAACTCTCTCCTCACGGGCCCTCAGGTGTGCCTTGTATTTCCTTCTGAATTCTCTTTCTTCTACCCCTCCTATTTAAGTCTATGTTTAAAGTGTCTCAACCTAAAATAATTCTTCTTCTTCTTCTTCTTCTTCTTCTTCTTCTTCTTCTTCTTCTTCTTCTTCTTCTTCTTCTTCTTCTTCTTCTTCTTCTTCTTCTTCTTCTTCTTCTTCTTCTTCTTCTTCTTCTTTTTATAAAGATTTTATTTATTATGTATACAGCATTCTGTTTGCATGCCAGAAGAGGGCACCAGATCTCATTATAGATGGTTGTGAGCCACCATGTGGTTGCTGGGAATTGAACTCAGGACCTCTGGAAGAACAGCCAGAACTCTTAACCTCTGAGCTATCTCTCCAGCCTCCTTTAAAATACTTTTCTGCACTGAAGCCACCAATCCCAGTTTGACCCTCACTAAGGCTCCTAGATGATCAGAGGACTCCTGTCGCTGCTGAGGGGACAGTGTGTACCCATGTCTCTGTTCCTCACTGGTACCAGTAGGTGGTACTGCTTTCTAAATTCCAGTGTGAGTCCTTTTCTCCACCCAAGAATTGTGCTCCTGTGCTCCCTATCCTGAAAGTCTGAGATGGGGTTTCTCTATAGCTTTGGAGCCTGTCCTGGAACTAGCTCTTGTAGACCAGGCTGGCCTCAAACTCACAGAGATCCTCCTGCCT